ACCGCAACGCCACATGTACAGTTCGACTATGAAAAGTAGGTAAGACGCAGTTTTATATGAAAATGCAATGGCTTGATGAATAATCTGCTGGTACCATATTCCCGCCTGTAAAATCAGTCAATTGTCTCTCATGAAAAACATTATTGTGTTCTGGATTAAAGGCGGGTATCCAAGTTTCAGATTGAAGCATTCGGGAGAAAACGAAACAATTCAGATTCCGCGCTTCGGATTTCCTGATGTTCCTTTTATTTGGAGATAAAGTGAAAATATACTTTGGAGATAGAGTAAAACACGGTGGCCTGCGTAGATGCAGTGGAACATACAGTACCCTATCATGTCGCGCTCGGTTCTAAAGAAGTAAAACAATATGTTTGCACTTGTCTTACCGCCTTTTATAAAATGAATATATTATAGTCAATGAGTTTGCGAAAGGAGAGTTCAACTATTACGCAACGGTGTACATACTGGGACAAAGGGCCATTATTTCATGTATTTATATATTCGGGCTCCAACGTGGACAGGAGTACTTTCGGTTGTGTGGACTTTCATTGTCATTCCGGGATGGCGTGTAGCTAGGCTATATTTACCATCGTTAAAGGTAACCCATTTATATTGAACAATTCATCCGATTTTACAGAAGAAAGAGATATGGCATGTTTTAATTTTCACACCAATGAATGACTTTCTTTTTTTCATGATGGGTTACATATTTGAAACATATTCAATTTCCAATTGCTGTATTTTTTGAAGGAGGTAAGAATCATTCGTCCTTCATACAAAATGCACGTGGAAGTTCACTAACTCGTAATTTGATCTTTCAGAAACGTTTTGTGACAAGTCTGGTTTACATAAAAAAATCCTTCAATGTTCGTTTGTTTGCTTGTTTCATTTTTTTATCAGAGCTGAAGATTTAATCTTTTCATGATTAATAATGAAGTAATTTTGAGAACATGATTTATTAATCGATGAATTAAGTTCTAAGACTCTTTCTATCAAGTCTAATATATCATCCTCTCACAATCATTTCGTTAAAAGGGTTCTAGGGCAATTACCGCCCCCCCCCTCCCCGGAAAGATCAACCACGCAAAAGGACAAAGAAGGACATCTACCCCTGAGGTCAATTACCCCACCCCTCCCCAAGAAAAACACATTGAAAACATGTTGAATTGTGTATTTCAAGCATTTCACTATTTGCTAACGGTGTCGTTTATTGTAATGATAGAATTAAAATAGCATTGTAGAGACGATGAACAAATAAGTATAATATACAACATCGTTGACCGTGGGACGGTTCACTTCTATCTCTCTCTGTTAAAGATACTATGTCCCTTTTGCAGCCAACATCAAATTCTGTAGAACTTTGCAGAAATTATGAATATGTCATGTACATGTATTTCCTATCTGTGAAATTTAAACGTTAACAGTGTCCTAATATTCAAACTATGCAAGGAAACTCGTTTACTTGCTAGATTTCACCGTCAGACACTATTGAGTGAGTGACTGGCTTGTTTCTTCTTTGGTTAATATAGCATACATAAAATGAGCTGTAAAGAGTACATGAGCATTTTGTCTAGATCAATCAGGGGCGTAAATCCCGGGGGGTGGGGGGATGCATCTCCCCTCGCTTGAAGGAGGGGGGCCTGTACAAATATCCCCCCTGAGATTACAAAATAAAGAGAAAAAAAAGGAAGAAGAAGAAGGGAAAAAAATGTGATTGTTTCAATTTCATCATAATGCATGAGAAATGAGTTATTTTTGTTTATGTATGTATAACTGTATAGCCTACACGTATACAGTATGTTACGATCATTTAGAGTATTTGCGCGACGTGCGCGAACAAGAATTTCATAAACTTCAGTATAATTTTTCGTTATTTTGCAAGGTATTATTATAGCCCAGACGTAAAGTGCGCCAGCGCGCGAGCGCTTAAAAATTGCAATCATGTACAGTAGATGCCCGGCCCCTCACCCACTCAGTGTTATTTAGGGTACGCGTATGCTCGTTCCCTCCCTTTGAAAGCACCCCCCCCCCCCCCTATCTCAGGATTGCCAACATTTCTTAATCCTCCTTTTGCTGGCTTTTCCTGCCTTGGAGACCCCCCCCCCCCCCCCAAAAAAAAAAAAAAAAAAAAAAAAAAAATCCAGAACACTGCTTAATGTCCCACCCCCCCCCCCCCCTCCCCCGCCCCCAATTTCAGGTGATCGAGGGGGACTGGGGGGGCCAATATTTTTACTTTTCAAAATGAAATAATCCTGAATGAGCTTTCAAAGCTAGCAGGAATTTCAGGCATTTGATCCCGGGATTTGATCAATTTTTTTATGATATTCAAGATATTTTATAACCCCCTCTTTACATTTCTCAGGTGTCCAAAGAGAGAGAGAGAAAAAAACCACCCCCTTTTTAGAGAAATCTCCGGATGAAAAGTCAAATACACCCCCTTTTTTTACAATTCTCGGGCCGGATTATGTCGCACGAAAAAGTACCCCTTTCCTGGAGATTTTAGGAACGCACATGCGGTCCCTCCGACCCCGGAGTGTGTGTGTGTGTGTGGGGGGGGGGGGGGGATTTGAAGACTGAAGTTCCAGGACTGGCGTGTTCAAGACTTACAGTGGCCGTTTGTCTCTTCAGTTATTTCAAGGTAAGCCTGTACACATTATTATTATTTTTATATTTGAGAAAGGATTTGGTTGAGGAAATTAAAGAATTCATTAGATTTAATTAATAAACACAGTACATGTATCATTATATGAATTGCAGAAACATTTTTTAAGAGGTGTGAAAACTGTGAACGCATCTGATTGAGAGTGATAAATAATACGGTAACTGTTGCATTGCCCAAGTCCTACTCGGTGGTTGTCATTTGTTCACACCTAAAACTTAAGGGACGAGAGGAAGATAGTTAAGGGCTGCAATGCATGTGATGTTTGTGTAGGTCTATGAATGAATTAATTTGTTGTTTATATTGAATGAATTGAATTGGATTAATATAAATAGGGCTTAATAAGAGTCGAAAACGGTGTAACGAATTGTCTTCTTTCTATAATAATTAAATCAAACGTCTAAGCTTTTCGCGCTTCGCGCGGGAAGGGGGAAACTGAATTCAGACAAGGATTAAGAGTCGAGAACAGTACACCCAATCGTCTGCTTTCTCTAACAATTGAAGGAAACGTCAAGGCTTCCGCGCTTCGCGCGAGAGGGGGGAAACTGAATTCAGATAAATAGTGCTTATTAAGAGTCGAAAACGGTACATCGAATCGTCTGCTTTCTCTAATAATTTAAGGAAACGTCAAAGCATTCGCGCTTCGCGCGAGAGGGGGAAACTTAATTCACATAAATAGGGCTTATTAAGACTCGAAAACGGTGCAACGAATTGTCTTCTTTCTATAATAGGCTAAAAGGAACTCGCTAATGTTACCCATACAATATCATGATAATCAGAGAGGATCCGATTTAGCATACAATATTAGTTATTGAGTGGCCGGCGTAGTGAGCCCACACATTAATATGAGGCACTAGAACTTGGGGTGGCTGGGGGAGGGGGCACTGTATGCATGGTCTTACTCGATCGGAAAAAAATAAATGCGAATAATAGGGCCTACTACTGTTAAGGGGCCTGTTAGGGACCAGGGTATCGATGTCCGTTTCCTCTTCTTAATTCTTCGGTTAACTCCAATATTTATCGGGCCGATTGAAAAATTGAAAAATGTTAACCCCCCCCCCCCCCCCCCACTTGAAAAAATCCTGCGTACGCCACTGCCTGGATGTTTATATTTTTATGCATTCTTATTGATATACAAGTTATTAATTAATTGCTTCGTTGGTGATTCGAGCAATCAGTGTCAGTTTTGTTGTTAAATATTTATTTCCAAAAAGGGTCACTATATCTCTGCATGGTAACGTTAACTGTTCATGCACTTTTTAGTTATCCGAATCCGTCCTTGATAGCCACTACCGTCTTTTCTGGACCCCCCCCCCCCCCTCAGTCTTTCTCTCTCTCTCTCTCTCTCACACACACACCCACACACACCACACACACACACACACACTCTATGCATCTCTTTCTCTCTCTCTCTCCCTGTACCCCGGCCTCACTCTCTCTTTCTCTCTCCAACGGGATCACTCTCTCTCTCTCTCTCGCGCTCTCTCTCTCTCTCTCTCTCTATATATATATGTGTGTGTGTGTGTGTATAAATGTCTCTCTTCCCCCTCTCCCTTTACCTCTGGCGCTTCGCCTCCCCCCCCCCCCCCCCGCCTTGCGATATCCCACTCTCTCTCTCTCTCTCTCTCTATATATATATAATATACATACTGTGTGTATAAATGTCTCTCTTCCCCCTCTCCCTTAATTTACCTCTGGCGCTTCGCCTCCACCCCCCCCCCCCCCCCCGGCCCCCCTCCCGGCGTGCGATATCCCACTCTCTCTCTCTCTCTCTCTCTCAACTACTTCTCCCCCACAGTCACACGACCTATTTTCCCTCTATTCCCCACTTCCCCAGCCCGCCTCCTACCTCCCGAGAACTCCTCTACTCTCTACCACCCTAAAATTCTCTCTCTTTTTTTTTCTCGATTTTTCTATCTTCCATTTTTTCACCACTACATAATATGTGGGTGGGGGAGGTGCCCCCACTCTTTTTATGTGTTTGGGCTACGTACCCAATTGCATGATATGCCAATCGTAAAATATACCGATTGTTAATAACAACCGGTATAATTATGTACAAGCGCATATCTTCTAATTAACAATTCCTATTTTGAGAATGAAAAAAATACGGATAAAATAGAGCTCCGCGACAATATAATCGAGTCTTCAATGCATTCTTGAAGGTTGACGTAACCGACTCAAACCAACTCCTTGCTCAAACTGAAATTGCATATCACCCCTAATATGTACCCAACGTCTGATCGCGTAGCCTAGCGAGCAAAACACCCCTTTCCTCTGACAAAAAATTACGTGACCTTTTGAAACAACGCAAAAACCGGTACGTGAATATTTTATGTGCGTGCCTGATTTTTGTATACACACAGCCGTATCGTGCATTCATAATGCGACGTGTACATGCACGAGGCTTCGTCATGCATTGAGTTCGTTTAGAAATAGGCGGTATTTGCAGCTTTGCATGAGACTCGACCAAATTTCACTTCTCCCTACGGCTTGAATTGTACGTTTATTGCTATATTTCATCCATGTTATTTCTATTTAGCTGATCTCGATTTTAAGAGGGAAAACAAAGACTGACATGCACGAGAGAGAGCTATTCTAAAACTCTATTTTTGTCATTGAACCTGGATTCTTCAAGCACACGAAACCGTTTCTGGTGAGTTTGTACACTCCATGTATTATACACACACATGTGTAGGTTCTATGCGTACATGGCATATTATGAAACCGCATGGTTAAGTTATATGCGTGGTATGTTTGATCTCAATAAATGCCATGCGCTCGCGATCAGTCATGCGCAGTGCCTTGATAATAGATGGTGGTGTGTAAGCTGTTTTTATGGGATTTAGGAAAATAAGGTTGTATATACATGTATATATATATATATATATCACATGTGCACTTCTTCACCGAGTCAGCTAGGTAAACAAAATCGGCTACGTGCGTGACGATTATAATTAATTAATTCTGCATGAATTAATCAAGGTACCTTAGATCCTTAATTTTGTATGGGAACTAGAAGTTAGCACAAGTGCTAGTCGAGCCTAGTTCCATTCTTTGGCAAGATTTTGTTCTGTTAATTTGTTTATACATAATTACATATGAATGTAAAACTTTGTTTTGTATTACATTATATACAACAAAATAATATAGTATCATGTTACTGTTATAGCAAGTCCCTGGTTTTACATACTAAAATGAAAAAAAAAGTTAAACTAAGTGTTAAAGTATTATAATAAAAGAAGACAAATCTATGAACAAATAAAATCATCAATGTGTTCATAAAAATTAAAAGGATGTATTAATAAAAATAATCATACAGATGTGCGTACAAGCACAAATCCTGTAAATGCTTAAGGTAGCTATAATCGTTAACAAGCAAGGATTATATATACAAGCAGGCGCGTACGCAGGGGGTGGTTTTGGGGTTAACCCCCCCCCCCCCTCGAGTTTTTTTTATGTGTATGTTTTATGTATGTTTTTTTTTGGAAAACCCCCCCTTTTGATTTTAAACCCCCCCCCCCTGTGAAAAAAATCCTGCGTACGCCACTGTATACAAGGAAGACAAGTAAGATAAAAGGAAAAACGAAGGGGTGGGATTGAGCCCACGTCATTTACATAGAAAGTAGGTGGAAAGATGTCTCCGAAAGGATAACCTCGATGTTTTAAATCTAATTTCATCTGGGAGATCATTCCACAGTGTTTAAAATAGTGAGAATTGCTTCAAAATCGGTTTGTCAATCATGTATCGCAATTCACCTGGATGTTTATATTTTTATGCATATACAAGTTATGATCTTGACGACTAACAACGAATAATAAAAACGAATTCTCATGATGATGGGCCAGCTTAATTAATTAATTGCTTCTTTGACTTTGGTGATTCAAGCAATCGTTGTCAGTTTTGTTAAATATGTATTTCCAAAAAGGGTCACTCTCTGCATGGTAAAGTTAACTGTTCGTACGTGCACTTTTTAGGGGGTCCAGACAACTCGCCACAAAGACAACCCGCCCCAAGACAACCCGCCACAATACCCTGGACATCTCGCCACAATACCCTGGTCAACTCGCCACAGGCGAGTTGTCCAGGGTGGGATGCCTTTTCGGACAACTCGCCACACTTTTTTCCCCTCATGATTTTTAGATCTGAAATGATATGAAATTGTAATTTTTCATGATTTTCTATAAACACAGTCATTACAAAGAATAAAGAATAAAGCTGATTTCCCTTGCAACAATAACATACTTTTGACAAACCAAAGGGCGTACGATCGCCAGATCATTGGGATAATTAACTTCTCGGTATTTAGATCGAGGTCTATAACAGCTGCATTTTTCTGTCCCAGAAATTTTTTAATGGTATAGCTTGGAAAAGCTGCTTCAGGGATTACCTCATCAAGTATCAAATGGTAGGATACTGGAAGCACTGGCGTACTGATAGGGGGGGGGGGCAGTTGACCCGCGAAATAAAATTGGAATGTAGTTTATTTTTATATATTTCTGGGTTAGTTTCGTCAGAGGCGGCATTCTTCGTTGGGGGGGGGGACACTGTGCCCCCACTTTTCCAGGTTCCCCTAAAGTGCCCCCTTATCCTTTGTACATGTCCTTTTCCTTTCTGATAATTTTTAATGGTAGGAATTCATGGAAGGATAGGCCTACTGGAAGCACTGGCGTACTTATGGGAGAGGGGGCAGTTGACCCGCGAAATAAAATTGAAATGTGAATTATTTCTAGATTTTTTGGGTTAGTTTCGCACTTTTGCCCACAGTCACAGGCGGCATTCTTGGTTGGGGGGGGGGCACTGTGCCTCCACTTTTTCAGGTTCCCCTAAAGTCATTTGTACATGTCCTTTTCCCTGCTGATAAGTGCCTACTTTTCTTTCTCAAATGTTTTAATTATAATGTTACTCATAATTACATAAAAGAACTTTTCTGTCTTTCTTCATTAGATTGTCCTTAATATTCATCATGTAATTTTTCAAATGGGACCATAAACTTTTTCCTTGCTTGCTCGAAAATCGATATTCAATCCATCACACCAAATTGCGGAGTACGTTGCTTAAACAATATGTTGTTCCACGTAAAGAAATAAACAAATATTGATGTCATTCGTGGTAGTGTATTCACAATCTTGACGAAGGCGTAGGCCTATAAACAAATATCTAAAAATGGTTTTTATTATTGTTGATGTGTCCCTTTGTAGGTGCCCCTTTTTTAAGAAATCCAGCAATTCTTGCAATCATAGGCGCCAGAAGTGGGGGCAGGGGACTCGCCCTCCTCCCAACGAAAAAGTGTGTGTGTGTGGGGGGGGGGGGTCAAAACGAATTTCCACCCCCCCCCTAAAAAAAATCAGCAGTATTATTGATTTCTATTTAGTAACCAAAAAGATCTAAATCTAGAAATCATGAGGGAAAAAAAGTGTGGCGAGTTGTCCGAAAAGGCACCCCACCCTGGACAACTCGCCTGTGGCGAGTTGTCCAGGGTATTGTGGCGAGATGTCCAGGGTATTGTGGCGGGTTGTCTTGGGGCGGGTTGTCTTTGTGGCGAGTTGTCTGGTAATCCTTTTTAGTTACCCGAATCCGTCGCTGATAGCAACTACCGTCTTTTCTGGAACCCCCCCCCCCCCGTTCTTACTTGCTCTATCTCCCCCCCCCCCCTCTCTCTCTCTCTCTCGCTCTATGCATCTCTATCTCGATCTTGATCCGTCTATAATTATGTATCTCCCTGTAGGCTACGTATATTCCCCCCCCCCCCTCTCTCTCTTTCTCTCTCTCTCTCTCTCTCTCCCTGTACCCCGGCCTCGATCACTCTCTCTTTCTCTCTCCAACGGGATCACTCTCTCTCTCTCTCTCTCTATCTCTCTATATATACGTGTACAAATGTCTCTCTTCCCCTCTCCCTTTACCTGGCTCTGGCGCTCCCCCCCCCCCCGCCTTTCGATATCACTCTCTATCTCTCTCTAGCTCTCTCTCCCTCTCTCTCTCGATCTCTCTCTCTCTCTCTCAACTACTTCTCCCCCACTGTACGTCACACGACCTATTTTTCCTCTATTCCCTCAGTTCCCCAGCCCTCCTCCTACCACCCCGCCTCCTCTATACTCTGCCACCCCATCCATCCATCCCTACATACCCCTTTACTCATGCTTTCTTAATTTCCCCCTTTTAGTCTCCGGGTTTATAAAGTGTGAAATAATTTGTAAAATTACTGATCGAGCCAGAAACAACCGGAAGTTTTAACAGGATCACTTCTCACTTCCGTATGCACTGTTGCTGATTCTGATACGATTTTGTTTAACTCAGAGCCCCGTGAATGACCGGTATTTTTGTTTTTTAGTGTATCTGTGTATTCCCTTTGTAATGTGCAGCCTGTTTCGTTTCCGATGTACGTATTTTTTAAAGATCTGGATAGAGATGTGAAATAGACAAATAGATAGGTAAATCGATCGATCAGTAATAAAACATCTGTGATACTTACATAATGTATGAATGCAAGAATAAACGAATACATGAATAAGTAAGTAAAAAATCTCGTTCTTTGGGCGATCGTCGCACTTTATATTCATTTCATTGTCCTGACAGGCCGAACCTTGTTGCAGGGCATTATTGCTTATACTCCTTATATTGCTTACTCCGTGATTTTGCTGCTCTCTTGCATGGCACCTATACACCGCCGTCACGATAAGTCAATCGTAAATAACAAATTCTGGCAACAACTTTTCATATCTTACTTTTTTCTCTTTATTCAAGATGTCGCCGAGCATTTAGAGGAAAGAACTAAACCAGATGTAGGCGTAAAGAAAGCTTAGTAGTAGGCCTACGTGGTACTGGTTATCATTTGCCCAATATGTTTTTATTCATCTTCAGACAGGCCTATTATATTCAACACTTTATTTTACCATTGCCATTGTTTGTTCAGATATCGCGAAGATGCCGAAAACAGGGAGGTTCACTATAGAAGAACGAATGGCGGTACTGGAGCTTATCAAACCCAAAGTGATTTTGTTGGACGCAATAACGAGTGATGCCCATTCCAGCGATTGTAAGAAGGAAGCATGGGAATCCATCACCAAGGAGTTCATCAAGGACCGTCCCGGTCGGCAGGACCTGACCTCCAAAGAGATCCGGGAACTTTGGCGACGGATGAAACACAGAGCCCGGATGGATGTCCGCCAGAGCATCCAGAGCGCCAAGGTTGGACACGTCCGCACCATATCAGAAGCGGACAACAATGGTTGGCTTCCAGACCACACGGGTCACAAGGTCATCGACATCAATGACCTCGGCTTGGACATGGATACCAAGTTCATCACCGATTTTGTGCCGTTACTCGAAGAAGAAGCGACCGTGCTTGAGACTCGGAATGGTGTTCTGCTTGATAAGGAAAAGCCTGGTATGGTGGAAAAACGACGGGCGTCCAACTCTATGCTTCCGAACGAAACGCCAAAGATTGTTAGAACAGATTTGGGCGCTGCTCCGGCCAGGAATGCCGGTGGCGATTTCTTTGAGGTTGATATCGTAGAAGTCCTGGAGACGAGTACGTCAGGAGTGAATGCAGTTCTAAGTGATCGATCTAGCCCAAAGTTGGAAGCCCCAAGCCTCCTTGCAAAGTAGGTGTACATGCGAATGTTGTGTATGTCAATATCTTTGATGATTCAGACCAAATATAGAGCCAAGCCGAATAATTGGCCAACATTCAGAATGATTTTCGACCGATCAGTAAAAAAAACAGTATTTACATTGTAGGTAACATTAACAATTGAAAGCATTTTGGGAGCACAAAGAATAATGTAATTATTTTTAAGTTTCCGGATTTTGGTGTACGGTACTGTTTTTGTACTTAATTACATTTCATAAACGTATCCTGAGCCATTATTGACAAGCAGAAGGGCGTTAATTCCGTATTTAATGATATAAGTTACTGCCCTTCTGGCTCTCAGCACACGTTCTATTTTTGACCTATTTCGGTTGTTTCATCTTTACTTTTACCTCCATTACCGTAGACCAGATGACAACACATGTTGGGTCATGTAATTGATTGTTGACATTCGGTGACTACTTTTCATCAGGTTTTCATCAGGTATTGGGCAGGAGAGAAGTTGACCCTCAGTGGTATTCAAAGCTCATCCTCATCTCCCTCTCCCCTCTCCCCTCCCCCTTCCACAACCCTTGTAAGCTTACATTCCGTCCCATTTGTGGTACGTCTTTTCACATTCATTTTTTTCTTGTATGTTTTTTTTACAGAGTTAATATCCCGTGTGGTATTCAGATCACTTCCGTTGTGAGTCAACAGCCGCAATTCCAACCAGAAAATACGAGCCAGAGTGTACCCCTCAAGTTCGACCAGCGGATGAAAACAACCACGAACTCGGCTATGAAACCTACAATGAAACCTACAATGAAATCGACAATGAAATCAGCTGTGAGCTCGAAATTGAGCTTGAATAAGCACTCAAGTATAACCTCAAATATTAACTCGAAAATGCACTCGAGCAGGAACCCAACGATGAGCTCAAACAAGCATCCGAATATGAACTCAACGATGAGCTCAAAAATGAATGCGACCACGCCCACGGCCAAAGGCAGTAGCAAGGACCTGACAGATCTGTCCATCCAGTTCTTAAAGCAGGAGCACGAAGCTAAGATGGAGCTGATTCGATTGAAACAAGCAGCGGCCAAGGCCAAGAATGATACTGCCAGAGCGAAGAGATCTGCTTACGACGAGAAGCGAATGTTTTACTTTGAGAAAAGAAAGAAATTACACGATGGGGTTTGACGTTGATGTAAACAACTTTTTACTAATACAGTCATGTTTGATACTATTAACGGGAGAACAGCTTGTTGTAAGGATGTCCTGCCCCAAGTTTGTCATGAAGAAACAAAAACATGTACTCCGATAGTCTTGTTTCATTTTGTCAAACAAGTGAAGTTATCGCCCTGAAGATGATTATGAACTACATGGAGCCGAGTAGAAAGGAGAATTGTAGAGAGTAAACACCTCGGTCGAGGACGAAACAATGGATCTTCGTTCAATATTTAAAAAAAGTGCAAATTTGTGCCATTTTAAATTCACCCAGGCAAATATTTTTTGTTTGGACAATAGCGAAAGTGCTACCCGTGATGAAAAGTTACGTCTCGTTTATATCAGTAGGATTTCAATAGGTAGAGCCATCGTCTTGAATAAAAATGAGCCTGACAGTATGATTAATCTTTCATAGTTATTTGCTTTATATTACATATGCAATCATAATTGATCATTAAAAAGCTAAAGTTCTTGGTTTACATCGTTTCTTATAATGAGATGATGAAACTCAGAAAGTCTTTCCGAATCAAGTCATGGACTCTTGAAAACCATCGGATATTCATTCCAAAAATCATTTACGACTGTTGAGCGCATATGCTGTACACTATGGTTTTTCTTGAAACGATGGAATGATAAGTGAACGATGGGGGAGATCAAAATTGTAACGCATTTTGTTGCATAATAGAACAAGATCAAATAGAAAATTACATGACAAATAAATCGGTTGAAATTTCAAGTTTAATCACTTCAATTATAAAAGACATTTTTTGTATCTGATCACTATCGTAAGATATAAATATTGCTATCTTAACAAAATAACCTTCCGTACTTACATGTATATTTCCACACAATTATTCAAGAACAATGACTAACATAATTAATAAATAATATTTACAGGCATTTCTATAGCGCCGTCTATCTAGATATTCTATTCCGAGGCGCATTAATAATTACCCCGACTTTAGCCTAGCTACCATTACATCGCTCTAACATGTCAAGTGATTAATTCCTGCCAGGTACCCACTTACCTCACCTGGGTCGAGTGCATGTGGCAAATGAAGATTAATGCGATTGCAATGTCAAATATAAACCTTTGTATTAAAGATAAAGGTGAGTACTGGTAATGCGATTGCATTGTGAAAGAAAAGGTGTGGAATGGATGAGAAAAGTTGATCATATAGTATGTAAGTATTGGTGTGTAATGCAAGGTTCTGGAGTCATCAAAATCATCATAAATTTGGCCCAGTCTTGGTCAAGTAACAATCACTATACACTATAGTACTACCTTGATTTTCTTATCTTTCTATGCTCATTACTCAGCCAGTATACACTTTCTTTCAAAATTGTTTGACACATGACATTTATTTGTAATCTTGAACATTCAGTGTAAGTTTCGTTAGATTCTGTGAGAACTCATTTTTTTTTTTTTTTTTTACCAGAACTCAAGTTTATCTTTAAAACGAAATGAATGATATGCTTTCCTCTTGCACGTTGATAGTGTAATGAAGTACCGACAGTAACGAAAGTTGACTATTAAATGGCCCGTGCTTTGTCCGTGTTGAAAATTCAACTTGACTTCCTACAGATTTGATAAAAATTTACCTGAGATGTTATATTTGTTCTTTGAAACACATGAAGTTGTTGCACAGAATGTGTAGTTCGAAGAAAATAATTGAGTAAATTTTGTTTTTAGGGTAAATTATCCAGTAAGAAAATTCTAGTTCCAAACCCTTTCTTGACCACTGTTCAAACCACTTAAAATGGCGAGTCTTTTTTCTTGACATTTCGTTGCCTAGTATTTTCGTCTTGATATTTATTTTGATATTAAAAGTTACGTTTTTTCTTTCTTATGTATGTCTTTATGTACTAGTATTTCTTAGGCACTAGAACGGCTTATTAAATCGAATACATTGGAATCAATTGGAAAACAATTACGGAGGGGGAAACGAAAGTTTTGGATGAGAAGGTAATAATAATAATAATAACTTTTATTTACCCAGGGTAGCCACTTCAGTTATGAAACTGTTCTTCCAGCGGGCCCTGCATAACATAATATGTTATTACTACCCTTCTCCAATCTAATATGCTGAGCGCCTAGCTAGAAGGCAGAAGGTCCCATTGTTATAAGTCTTTGGTATGACTCGGCCGGGGTTCGAACCCACGACCTCTCGTTCATGAGGCGGGCGCTCTAACGACTGAGCCACCATGCCCGGTTGAGTATACATGAAGTAGTAGAGCATGTCGAGATGGTAAGCGAAGACTGGAAGAGAAGCTAGCCAAAAGAGTCAACTTGGACAGCGTTTTGCAATTTTTTTTCTTTTCTTTTACTTACGGCACCCGTTTAGGAAATAAGTTTTTTTGCGCCTCCCTAATCTCAAATTCATTTACAAAATATCCATCTTGCATCATTCTGACACTCCCCAGAAATTACATTGTTTTTCGATTTGGTAAAAAAATTACTCTAAGCAGCACACTTGATGAAATTTAGAATGAAGTGTGCGGGTACCTCCCTGCCAAATACGGAAATCATATATGAGCGGTCACACACGCACAAATATGAGGATATTCGGGCGTTTCATTGCCCAGAATTATCCTGTTTCTAAATGTTGCGAGCGAGGGAAGCCAACGAGCATGGTAAAATTGATTTTCAGTAGAAAAGATAAAATATAAATTCGGGCACCCAGCCAAGGCCTCACACAACCATATGAAATGAAACGGGTCATTTCCCATCATGTATGCCTACAAGTTAGCCAAACATTGACACAAAAAATAAAAATAAAAGCATATGATTATCAACTGATGTGACTTAAAAAGATCTAACTCAAATTTTTAAAAAAAATCAATCACAATTTATTGCTTTATCTCTTCTAAACCGAGTCCCCCCCCCCCCCCCCCCCCCCCCAAACAAAAAAATAATAATAACACTGAAATACAATGTAATGATTATATCACGAATGAATTGAACAAATAAAATTGATCGACTATATAATGCATATATCGACCAATGACGAATTTTCATCAATTTACAAAACTGGTCAGTAACTCTACGAACATCTATTAATTACCCGAGGTACAAAAATCACGTAACAGTACAACGCAGCAATACAAATAATGATAACAATGAAAGCAAATTGAAACGTTTATAAATAATCCTACATATTCATAGCACATACATGTATCTATTACACAGAGTCCATATCAAGATAAGTTCATTTGGAAGGTTGCTTCCATTGGAAAGGGTACGAGTTGCGATGTGTAGTCCTATAACTCTCTGATTGACCTTACAAATATCTAATTATCTGAAACAACCTTTAATCTCTTGTAGAGAGGGCATAATTATGATTATCGAAAATTCGTTAATGTCTTTTTCCGGTACAGCTTAATGAACTGTGAATGATGCAGCAACTTGAGTTTTTATTCAACCCTTCGGCGATTCTTCTTTAGGTTTTTTCACATCTTCCTTTTGAATCTCTAATATATGTCCTTCGCCGGCAACGACATCTTTCTCTCTAAGAATCTTCTCAAAGAGCTCAGCATCTCGATCGCACACGTGCCACGCAACATTCCAAGGAAGGTCCTGGATGTCGACTCCAATGTTTGTATACAGAGGGTACAGTTGTACACTCGGTGTGCCATAGTAAAGGTTGCTCAAGCCATCAGTTTCCATGCGCTCTTTGTAATGGTTTAGAAGACATACCCTGTGATTGAAAAAATCAATCAATTAATCAATAAAAACATTAAAGCTTAGTATCAATGCATTTGAATATCCCGCAAAGTTGGTGCAATAAGAGTACTTCAACCTCCCCCCCCCCCCCCCCCCCCCGCTAACCGGCCCTGCCCCACCCCCTCCCAGTTTGAATTATGCCCTGACAAAATGTTACCACAGTGTGGCTTTAGAATATTTACAAAATGTTCTAATGTGAACACACTATAATCACACTTTTTATTTATAGAGGTTGACGCAGAGATGTAATCAAAATGTACATTTACCACAGTGTGGCCATATAGTGTGAACCCTCTATTCACACTTATGTACTATATTCTATAGCATGGCATATTGTTTGAGTTGGAAAACATCACAGTGTGTAAACATTGAAATGTAACCACAGTTTAGGTTTAGCTTTCAAAGGAAATATCCACACTGTGAACACACTGTGTGACGCTTTTTGCTTTACGTTAGGATAATCCATGTAAATACGTATTGTTACCTGTCCATATTTTTCTTGGCGCTCTTATGGTGATGTGGAATGACATTGTAGAACCCGACCGGTCCCCAGGGCCTAGTCTTGGACAGCCCCTTGGCTCTTATCCGACCTAAGATGTCGTCATCTTCTCCTCCCCAGCCCCAGTAAGCATTGGGAAACCCGTTAAATTTCTCGATCTGGGTCCTCGTGAAACCCGTCACAGCCCCGAAGAAGGCCCCATACAGTAATCTGTGAAATGAGAATAAAATAAATGAAAACGAATGGATTTATACAGGTTGAGAATCGCATGATATAATTTCTCTTGCATCTGAAAATTGCAGGTCAGAATAAAGAGGCTTCTGCTTTCTTTATGTCGTATATAGACTGTGGTAAAGATTAATTATATAAGGTTTATTTTTAATAAAATGAGTCGAAATAGGATGGGGGGTTTGAAAGAAAAGAAATGCAAATTCTAGACGAAAACAGAAAATCGTAACATTTGTGTTCTTGACATCGAATAGCAAAGTTAGCACGTTTTTAAAAATTCGGCCTGCTCATCAGCCTGCTAATTAAAAAAACATTATGACTGAAAATAGAAATCATGACTTTGTGACCATTTCAAGTGAAATACTGGAAGCTCTTTTTAAAGTCAGTAATGACAAAGATAAACTCAAAATATTTGAGAATTCAAAAAAAGGAAAATATGGTTTGAAAATGAGTAAGGCTTCAGAAAGAGAAGAAAGAGACAAACATGAGTATAAGTAGTACTTGCAACAACAGTGTAGAAGTCGATAATAGTCATCGACTGCGTGAATATTATAAAGCAAAGACATACGCAAAAAAGATGAAGATGTTTTATATAGGCTAGCTACTTACTTGTAGTTCCACCGGTCGACACCAGAGACGAAGTGTCGAGGCATGCCGCTGCAGCCGTAGAGGTTACCGTAGTTGAGAGGTATATGGTCGACATCGTGAAAGATAAAACAGTCGAACATGGTGTAGTTCAAAGCCTCGACGAAACCGACGTTCATTAACATCGCCCTGTTAAAACGGAGATCATTTTCCTATTGAGAGCGAGAGAGAGAGATTGTGAAAGCATAAACCAAATCTTCTTTGATTCTTTGTTTCATATATAGCCATATAGTTCAGCAATGCGAAAGATTCGTATATGTTAACGTATTCTTTGACAGCAATTTGTGTCAAAGCTTTTCGTCTCTTTTCAGTACATGATAAAGCTCATAATTTTTTTTAGATAAAACAATACTTTTAAGGGAAAAATATGATAATAGGACTAATTTGTACTTATTTTGAAATTTGAAGCGCTTCCTTTTCTTATCAAAAGCAATCTCAGCACGCAATTACGATTCATTTAATTGAGGCAAACGAAATTCCTGTTTTAAAAATGTATTGAACATAGAAAATGAGAAATAAAGAGGTTAAAGAGGTAAGAAGGAAATAGTTGAAGTGGAATCTAGAAGGCTAACCTGTTCAATGACAAAGATGGAGAACTCCAGATATTGGCTCTTGAGGAATGGAACAAGATGAAGAAGTAAGATTGGAAGGTGCTGGTGCCTGTCACGAAAAGGTATCACTATGGCTACCTAGATAGAATAATGGAGTAAATCAGTCGAATTACTATTTAGTTAATGTTTGTATTATTTTCAATGTGAACTGCTTCCTTTCTTTCTGTTTGTACTAGCTCCGGTGGGGGAGGGGTCATATTCCCTATTTTAGATGATAATGAAACATTTAAGATTATTTTTGATATTCCCCCCAATCAAGTAGCTCTGTATATGCTCATTTTCCCTCGTTGTATTCGTCTCGCCACCCCCTTTTTTTTCTTCTTATCTATCTCTCTCTCTCACTCTTTCTCTATCTATCTATCTTTCACCTATGCCAGTGCACTCCCACTGTCTATCTTCCTTATCATAGCAGCAATTTTACATCAAAAAGGTTGCTCCTGAAATGCACCGCATGATATAGGCCTATATTATGTAATATAACTCATAATATAGTTTGAATTTTGAACCCCATTCTGAATCCACAATTTCTATGTCATTGTTACAAGTTAAATATTTCGCACTACTTATGTTCAATTATACTCAATGGAGTTCCCAGTTTTAGTTGGTAATGTTCGACGTTATGGTTCTAAACTCTTCAAGCTTTGAGTTCTGTCCAACCTGAACCGGGTATGTATATTTCAATGACCCATTCAAGTATTTTGGAGACGGTTTAATTCTTTCAAATTACAAATATATGTCTTTTGCTCGACAACAATTTTACCTTCCATCTCGGTGAGCACTTGGTTGGAATCCAGTGTCCTCCTGGCAACAAGATGTATTCCTCCGTCTCCAGTCCGTCATTCAGTACATCAGGGATACCAGCTCCAGATGCGGTGTTGATCTTCCTCGCCTGGTAGAGCTTCTGAAGTTTCTCGTTGCTATGTTGGGTAAGCCGACGGGCATCCATGGTATGAGTGTGGAGAACGCGTTCTTCCACGTGGAACATTGTTGTTTCGTTGAGTTCATGAGTTAAATTTTTCTCTGGGTGGAGATATTTTTAAATTCCATTTTTTATTATTCGAAAGAGACACATTTTCACAATTTAGAATCCAATGGCTAACACGAAGAAGTACGTACTGATGTGGAAGGCTAATTAATAAGTACTTATTTGTATGTGTCCTATAAAGAACAGTGTAACATTGTCCCTAGTCCTATTAACGTTTCGATCATTTAAACAAACATGCAAACATATTATCTAAGACGACTCGTTATTTTCAAAACAATTCATTCAAAAATAGAATATTTCAATTTTCAAATATGCCCTCCTAGCACACAAACTAATATCAAACGTATACATATTATGTAATTGAAATTTTTATCATTATTTTGTTCAAAATTTCTAAATCAAGCAGTCACACAATCCGCCCAATAACCTGCTTTTAAACCTTATGTTTAATTATATTCAACTGATCGAGCTCCCAGTTTTAGTTATTACAATGTTCGACATAATTATTCCAAACTCTTCGAGCTTTGAATTCTTTCTTACCTGAACCGGGTATGTCTATTTCTGGGCATACTGGACCATGGATTAATTCTGTGATGATAAAATAATGAAATGTTACTTAAGTGGAACCCAATAGCTCATCTAACAGATTCTGTTAGACCCTTATATATATTGAAGCCGATACACAATCGCTGATAATAAAAATGAATAGATGAATAAAAAAAAACACACAAACAAGTAAATCATAAATGAATAGATTGAAACAAATTTAAATGAATAAAGAAATAAACAATATTTAAGCAACGGGATCGGGAAATTAAAAAGTCTTATTTAGACGTATATCAAACTAGTCACATTAAAACCGAACTTGTCCAAGTGTCTGTATGTTCTCCTCCTGATCTTCTTTCTTACTTATTAACTTGTGAAATGGTAAAGGGTTTCTTACTTCTTGCTTTGACGTCGACTGTTCGTGGTCTTGTGAAAGCTCCATCAATCTGATAAGATAACCTTCTCAGACTATCCATCAAACCCGATCCTTCTTCGGCTTCTCTTGCATAGCGATGTACTACACCAGGATGCCCTGCATGACAGTGCAAATCAATGGCATTTTCTTCATTACTCTCTTCTATCTCAACGGGCAATGAAGTATGTTATATAAAAACAAAATCTGTTCTAGATGTATTACATTTACGTACTGATGAACCGTTACATGTTTGAATGTTCTAGTAACAAATTTTGAATGTTCGCAACAGTTGCTGACAAAATAACCTCCGATCGAAGTTGTCCCTGTCACAGTATTTTTAAATGCTTTTACGGATTCAAAACTGAAATAACTCCGTATTCTAATTTGGAAATAGACAGAATGGCATATAAGTTTTACGAAGGTTGCATTTATTTTCTTTAAAATGTTCTACATGACATGTAGACAGTGTCCAACAGTGATGACATGCCTATCTAGCTCAATAATTAATCGATTCTCGAGTTATTTAAAAAATTAATTGGAAAACGATGATGTTGAGTAATGACACCTTACCATAACTGGCATCCAGCGATGCCCAGAGGGCCAGCGTTGAAACGGTTGCCATGACAACCATGATCCAGATATACCAGAAGAAAGCTCTGCCGACGACACGCCCATCACTCATCGTATCCCAGATATGAGACATTACTAACCAAAATTGTGACGTCATTTCAGCGGCACGAGACCGCATTACTGCAGGTATTTGCAGCTTCATAATTGTCTTTTACAAGCTATGAGCGTGTCACAAGATTTGACGTTGTAAAAACCTGACGCTGATTTCGAAAGTCCCCTTGTTTTTCGTTTTCTTGCTACTTTTCCTGTGAACAGAAGAGTCGAGATGAAACAGCGTGTAAGATTTCACATGACTGCTTTAACGATATAATCTTTTTTGTATAACTTTTCGCGGCATAAATACCTGACACAGATTTTTTTAAAAATTCAAATGTAAAGATTCGTTCATGAATTAGAATACATATACCAGCTCTATTTTCATCAGTAGACAAACATGATAAGACAAATTTACTAACATATCCAAATGTTATGCGTACATTTTTTAACAAATATTGTTCTTGACAACCTGGAGGCTTGTCCGAGGAGTTCCCGACATAGCAGCAAATAATGGATGTTATATGGATTCCAAGTATTGCAGTTCATCTAGGGCTTGTATGTCGAGAGAACATCGCTAATTATTCATTTCAGATTGTTTATCCTGCAGTGATTGTTTGAACCAGTAATTAAAAAATAATCACAAAACGCTGGAAGTCATCTTCAATAAAAATCATAAATATCATTTGCACATAGTGACCTGGTGTCGGCCCTACTTACCTTGATTTCCTTATCTTTCTATGCTCATAACTCAGCCCTTATACATTTTCTACCAAAATCGTTCGGCACATGTCATTTATTTGTAATTTTAAACATTCAGTGTATGACTATTTGGATTCAATGAGAATGCATTGTTTATCATTATACCAGAACTCAAGGTTACCTTTAATAACAGGTTAATGGAATACCTCGTTATTAAGGTACCCAGGAGATATAAACATCCATGAATCTGAATATGTTTGATAGCTGTCCCGATTCTAATATAATGATCTTGTTTACCTAGCTGACATCAAATAACTATTCTATTTCATCACATGCAGGAGCACCAGTCTAATGAAACAAAAAAACAGAGATCCTTCGTGCTCATCGTGTTAAAACAAACAAAAAAATGTAATACAAATGTTAATCATAATAATTATAATAATAATAATAATAATAACCATGTCTTCTATGTCCGGCAGCCCATGCATGCAGACGCTCACGTCGCCTGATCCATAATATCTACAAAATACACTCATTGGGCAGGGGCGGATCCAGGGGGCGTGGAGGTGCACGCCCCCTCTTTTTACCTTTAAAAAACACATATATTTACCGGCCTTCCCCCTTCTTGAAACGCCCTTCTGGTTCCAAATAGATGGATATTAAAAGATATATATGTATTTCTGTCTTGGTTGCCACAATGAAGATTGTAAATGTAATAACCATAACCAGATCAGTGGGTTCGTATACTGACTGGAAGAAAAGAAACTAGGCCTACACAATACAATATGAATTACCTTTATTTGTCCACATATTCTTTCCCTATATGTCGAATTTTGCAGAGATGTCATCATTATACAAGAACCTACGTCCATATCAAATCAGCTGTTATATCAACTCCTCTTGGCTAGAAGATCTCCTAAGATGGCAGAATAGAGCAAATGTTCATGTATCTCTCGTCCCGTGTAAAACGCCAAATAATATAGATAGGTTATTGACAACGTACTGCGCCAAAGCAGTTAACTGTGGTTATTTCGTGGTGTTGTGCTACATGTGTAAACAAAAGCAGGACTCGGTCGATCGGTCTGTCTTCTTCAAGACGAGATAAGCCACGTTGTAAAGTGTTTGCACTGGACAATCATCCCTCGTCATTGGGTTTCCCTGATTTATAAAGCCTTAATTCCAGAGGAAAACACACAATTGCATGCTGGAATGCATAACAATAGATCTCAGACCATCTAAATTACGTGTGTTGGTGTAAGTCCCGGGGGTCTCAGTCATATAAAAATACTGTAAGCATGCGTTGTTGTTGTTTTTATTTCCGTATAAAAAATAATCAGATACAAATACAAATATACGGCTGGTTGCCCATATTCAGCTGCAACGATAATTGTTGCTGCTGGTCTTCCATGGGGCCAGTTTACAATATACAAAATATACATGACAACAGGTATTCTAGACACCCCCTAAAACAGGATTTCTTCTGAAGCCAAAATTCATCCTAAATGAGGATTTCGCGTATTTTTTTTTTAACGGGTATTTCAAAATTGTGTACTCGATCTTAAACAAGTATTGTAGTGTTTTAATTCCTTGAGCATTTTAATTCGCGATAGGGATTACCATTTAAGTTGTTGACAATGTAAAATAAATCAAATTGTGCTTCTGATGTAAAATTCACAATGTAAACATTATTTCAAAGAGAAGCCACAACATCAACCTGATGCACAAAGCCATCATAAGTCCGTTGCGGCTGTCCTCCCTTTTGAGAATTGTTGCAAAATTATCCGCTGGAAAGAAACCCGGATCACTATAGATGGTTTAGACCGCCATATGCACGCCTACTCTCTCGTAAAATTAATTTCTCACAATATAATATTGTGCATGCAGACAGAAATAGGGGCTCTTCAAATTGGCCGAATCAGTAATACAATGTGATGTAGTGGCGGACAACTTTCCCTTATGATCTAACTAACACACAAATTGACTTTTTTTTTAATTCCCCCTTTTCGATATATTTGGCCGGGGAGGGTCTATATTCTCTTTAGGTGACCTATAATATATTTTTAGTAATGCCCCAAAGGGATAACTCGGCACCAAAGAGAAAAACCTAAATTAATGATGTTTGGGTACACGACAAACATTATCCACGACTTCGTCACTGCATGACCAGACTACCTATTTGAGATTTAAATAGACGTAGTGATCTCATAATTCAAACATTCATAACTTTCTTTTTATTGGTCCGATTTACTATTTCAAAATTTTCACCATTCTTTTTCTCTGATTTTTCTGTTTTTATACAAATAAACTTATTACACGGGTTGGATTGCCGTCTTTTGAATAGAATCGACTTCAAGGTTGTTGTCTCCACACCATGAAATACACTGCCAATGCATGGCCTCAAATAATCATCGTATATCAAACATGATACATTTTCCCTTGCTTTATATATTAGCTCCAAACATCGAGAGGCCTAATCGAGAACAGTCTGAATAAATCAAATGTTTGATCCAACCGCGCATAGTAATATTCACAGGCTTATATGTTATTTGCGTTAACTATTTTTATATTTCAAAATTGGTTTCATTTCATTATATTTATCTGATTTGAGCTCGGGGACCTGCCTTCAATGAGCCTGAGGACTGTTCTTCCGTAGGACCGCGCTTATCAAAAAACAAATCATCAATAAGATTGCATTATGCAAAATAATAATGATGAATGAATATTTAGAAGAAAAAACATGTAGGTAAAAAAGAAAATATATCTTAATTGTTTTGTTTCCTCGATATTTGCACGTCAATCAATATGCCTACATCAATGTATTTGTACTTACCTCATACTGCCGAAGATTGTAACTGTTTATAATTATACTGTACGATATATTGCAAATATCCAACTATTACACGTCTATGACTTTGATGGTATTCTTTTTAAAAACTCAAGTGATCAAGTGATCATTGTTTGGTCATGAAGACGATATCAGGAGGTCCTTATGAGGTTCAAAGTACCTAGAAAGAAGCAATGCAAATATTTGCTCTCACTACGCTATCGCCACTAATTAATAATCACCCTTAGCAACTTGCATGCATCCAGTTAGTTTTCTATCTCTATCACACCCGCTCAATGCTACGTGCAAGTGCATGTATCTATGTGGTTCATCATTCATGTTACGTACGTGTCTCTTTGCCCCCCCCCCCCCCCATGCTAACCCTATAAGGGCATGCCCTGATTGACTAGAACAAGTGATTCCAGTTGAAATATAAGTGGTTTCAACTATTTCATTTCAATTCATTTCATTTATTTCCACTTCTCATTAAAAAAAAAATATAGCAATTAACATAATAATTATATCTGATTAAAACAACAAAACAAGAAAATAGCACAACAATATTTAAAGAATTGAGAGAACCTAGAATTAATACTTGAGAATGTGGTAGAGCCAGCAGAGGCAATCGACCTATCAAGGGCTGGTCTCCAGAAGAAAAAAAAAGTATATACAGTGGCGGATCCAGGGGATTCAAGTGCTCACTACGCCCCCCCCCCCCCCTCCCCACTGAGCGAAATATTGGCCGGCTTGATTTTCAAATTTTTATTCAAAAAAAGACATGAATTTATCAGATAAAGTGGAAGGATAAATTAAAATTACTAACAATTTGGAAAAGACGTTCTTTGCTATCTTATTTATGTTTATGTCATGGTTTGATCTATAATCTTTAGGAAATAGACTCTATGCTCATCCAAGGCTCAACAGGGTTGTTACCAGAGAACTGAAGAAAAAAATGATTTAAATTTTGTGGTTGTGAGTTTGCTAGCAGGTATTTTTCTCACGTATACCTTCTCCGTACGCGTTACGTTTAGTGTTTCCCTTTATCATTTGCTTTATTTATGATACCGCACCCTGATCTGACTGACTGGAGCTGGAACTCATGAATCCACCATGATTTTACCACGGATCTCTTGGTTATTGGGAGCCGGAAAAGCACTATGTAGTAAGTAAAGCTAGGCGAATAATTTGTACACGTTGCTTTATATGTTAGAATTATCTGGTATTTGTTTAATTGCCATAATTAATGAATGCCGCTTGTGAAAGATGGAGCTCGTATTTCATGCATTGTCCTACGCATTCACATTCATGCAGTGTAAAATAATTGGTAATCAGTGACTTGAGCTTGAGTTTGTGTGTATCATATGCGTGTGTTATCTACTATCGAAAATATAGTTTCATTCTCAACTTTCATGTTACAACTTACATCAATCACTTTATGTCACCCATACTGTACATAGAGATCTACACAAGTTATTAAGGAAAACCTAGGGCACCTGGGGTTCGTTTCACAAAAGTAAATTAAAAACCATGATTTCAATACTAGCCTAATTACTATCCACTCCAGCAAAGCATTGCCATTAGAGAGTCAATGCTAATGCGTATTGATCTCTAGGCTCTAGCACTGCACTACTTGTTAATAGGCAGAATTGCACACACGAATAGTCCATGCACGCAATAAAGACGATGTGGCTGATCGGCAAGTTTGACAGTAGACTCACGATTTGAATTTTTAAATTTTTCTTTCCAATATCGGCAAGTTAAAAAAATAGCATTTTACTGCTATTTATTTAGGTGTCATCAATTGTCACTAAAGTACCAATTATTAGTGAAATCAGTTGAGTTTGGTACAGTGGTGTTTGAAATGTTGAGAATCAATAGCACAGCTTTTAAAAGTTTTAATACACAGCCAGTATGCAGCTAAGTGTGATACTATCAAGTATCGGCTAAAAAAAAGATTAATATGAATGATTTATGATGTATGTCTTTATTTCATTCAAACTTTTTCATAACTTCTTCATAAGGCAAAATATTTGTTTCATTTTACCAATTATCTGGAATAATTTCCTGGCTGAAATTTGCACAGCACCGCCTGTAGATGATTCTGTGATTGGGATCGACAGTCACGTTGTAAAGGTATTTATGAAAAGGCTTGAAAGTGTGAAAAAAGAGGTGTGTTAATTATTGTTTGCTATAATACATTTTCTTTCCCCTTGCTCTAGATCCGCCACAGTTCTTGAATCCATACCTGGCTTCGACGACCAGCTGCATACGTTGGGCTTCAAAGAAAGCCAGTAGCTCAAAGAGGAATACTGGCGGGAGGAGTCCAGGAAAAAGACTTGGCCCAAAGAAGACCCATGGTAATTGAAGATCAGTTTTTATCTGCAACTTTAGATTGTTCCCTAGGTATAGTTGATTATGTGCATCATAAGTTCTTTGTCAATTTATTTTGTTTAAAATGAAAAACGTCTTCATGTTATGTTTGTTAAGTCATGGTCATATGAGGTTTTCATTTTTTGATCAAACAAAATGAATGAAAGACCAGTTGTAAAGCCCCACTGCACAGAATAGAGAAATTGAAAATATCAACGCATCCTCATTTGAATTCAGTTTAGGGTATGATAAGGAACTGTTCAGATTATATTAAGTCAAGACAGTAAGATCAACTACATGTACAAAACAAAATGTACATGTACCGTATGTATTTGTTTTTTGTTTTGTCGCTATTGTTCAGATACATTGTAAGTACCGGTAGTTTATTCTGCAATTTTAATCATGATTCATGTCATAATTCAGATACATGTAATACCAGACTATTCCCATAATCCATTTTCTTTTTGTGCATATTTCAGGTCAATACGCGTATGAAAACCAGATACTGGTCCGGCAGAAGATGAACTTTAGATTCTACCCTGGTCAATTTGTAAGTGGTTGTGAAATAGTTTTATTTTATAATGGATCCCTTAGTTCACCAAGGTCCAAAATCCTTACCATTGTACTAATGTCATTTGGCAAGATAGAAATCTGCATTCTTGACTCTTGACTGAGAGTGTAAGTTTCAACTCCTAAGTACATGTATGTGGTAGAGAAACTAACCTGTGAATGATCTAAAGCCTTTCTGTACTAGTTTGGTAAGGGGGATTAGACCACCCTGCAAGGCCACTGACAGGTGGTTATCTCATATCAGCTCTCAATTAACATAAGAGAAAGGGGATCATGGGGGACAAACGGTCACTGCTTAGGCATTGCTTGTTAAATATAGAGGGCGTAAGTAGCTATAAGTGGTGCAGTGGGGCTTTAAACGGACTTGGTAGCATTGTTCAGATGAGAGAAAATGGTGCTAAGGTAGTGACCTCAATGCTAGATGTACAATTAAAGATAATCTGGAAGTTTGAGTGAAAACAGACCATTATTAATGATAACAATTGGGAAAAACTGATCTGATCTGTTTCTTAATTCTCCCAACTATATTATTACACTTTAATTACATTTTAGGTGAATGTAAAAAAACAAAGCAATGAATTGGCTCTATATACCATTCCACACATTCAAGTGTTGAAATATTTTTTAAAGCCTTTCTTATTTACATGGAAAAATGGTTGGGAGAATTTTTATAGTACCTTTAACATACAGATCAAAATATATCTTTGCGAATCGCCCCCTATAATGACCTTTGACCTCTGACCCCTCTATAGGTGAAGACAGGCAGAGACAAGACACTAGTAGCCCAAGTGGCTGGGACGATTCGCTTCTCTAAAGAAAGATGGCACCCCAACCATAAGACCCAGTTTGGAAGGGAGATCGCACCACAGATGTCTGACGAGGAGATGGAGAGGACTTTTGTGCATGTCATTCCAGAGAAGGAGGTTGGCAATTTCACACTGGTAGAACAGGTGTAGGAATCCCTCTTTTTGGCCATGTATTGCATTTTGGATGTCAGATGTGGTGATTTAGGGAACATTTGTGCGTACATGGGATTCCAGAGGAGGAGGTTGGCAATTTTACACCGGTATGACAGGTGAAAGAGGTGGGAGGTTGCACCCCTGATATCAAATGATGGTGCGGCAGAGAGGAACAATCAAGCTAAACGTGTGAGAACCCATTCTGTTGGGATACTCCACTTCTGTTGAAATGATGAGAAGAGGAGTCATGAGTGTGATACTGGAAGAGAAGGTTGGATCGTTCAAAATGCTGCCATTGGAATGAGCAGTTACAAACATTGGAGGATTATTAAAGGAACTATCCATTTGCATGAGAATACAAATCACCATTGATGAACAATACTATGTCTTATTTACAAAACCTTTTGCTATCCTTCTTCAAAAGTAAAACACCACTTTTGTTTTCAGTAAGGGATCAAAACAAGTTGAGGTTGCACCTATTCTGTGGTGTTTTGCGGGGTGTTGAACTCTCACTGAAACCAATGGTGCGCAGTCTTTTACCAACATTCTATCATAAATTTGTTTTTCATAAGTAATAATATATCTCACACTCGTATACAAGATCAAAAGTATATGGAATACCATCCCTATTCTTCACCTTTTTAAAACTAACAATTCAGGCTTGGCTTTTTAGAGCAAGTTTCATTGAGATGAACATAAAATGCCCCTCTCCCCTCCATTTTAATAATAATGATAATATTTAATTTTTATATAGCGCTTATTACAAATGTCTCTAAGCTATTTAGAAATATACTACTACCCCGGTCATTGGATTCAGTGCTTGCCCGCACACACTGTGTGCAGGTTAATATCTTGCCAAAGGATATTAGTGCTGTGTCGGGATTTGGTATACAGGTTCAAAATATTAAAAAAACATTGCAGATATTGTATTAGTTGTCTCTGTCCCAGACCATGCTTCAAGTGGCTGTTGGTTTTTACCCAGTGTTCTATGGTCCCTATTACACTGTGTTGTAATTGTTTTATGTGGATATACAGGAAAGCCTGCTTGTAGGAGATAAAGAAGCTAAACGATACTTTTACATCGGTGAGGATGAATAAAAAATTAAAATGAATTATTTATCAGACATCTACAGTGATTCTTTATTATTATAGCATATCCCCCTTTGTAAATATGAAATCCAATACATTGTGCCTGAGGCATCGTGCACTAATGCTGGTGTAAAGTTGGAGAAAGAGCTTGATAGAATGATATAGGCTACAGGAAGGTGGAGAAAGTGGGGTAGGAATGGAGTATTTGGTCAAGAGTGCAAGAGGGTGCAGAGATTAGGTAGAGCTCCAAACTAAACCTTTGTGGAAGGGGTTCTAGATTGAACTTTTTATATTCTGTATGCATGACCGCTGTGTCAAAACTTCAAAAACATTTGGGGTCTGGACTTGGATTTTGGACGCCCATGTACCCTGGGTGCCTGTTTCACAAAGCCTTTTTATAATGACAAATGACAAAAATCAGTGACAAATCTGCTGATAACCAATCAGAAGCAAGGATTTCAGTAGCTTATAACAAAAAACTGTCATTTGTCACTGATTTTGTGAAACACCCCCCTTGGCGCCTGTTAGTGTCGAGCCCTGGATTACAGAAGAGAGATGAAGAGGGAGAGGAGACAGAGGGCAAAAGTGAGGGAAGGCATGATAATGTTTGTGTATGACTATGAGCAATATGGGGTTGCTTTTAAACACAAGTTTCAAAGCACAGTGAAAGAGGGGGTGCATCACAGGTTAAAATATAACAAAAAGGGAGACTTGTATCATTTTTTTCCTGACAAAACAAAAGTTAAATCAAATTCACTCAGGGGATCTAACTTCATCTTCCTGTAGACCCAGGGATTTGAAGTGCAAAACTTTGGGATATTCTAATTAGTTGTGTTGTCGTATACCTTGCCTACAAATGTTGGTGATGAAAGCTTTAACGAAAGGGTAATATACACTATGAACATGACGGACAAAGAAAGCGGACAAAATATACAGTGCCTCAGGTAGACAAAGGAACATCCCTTCACTGCTATTATGTAAAAAGGTGAATATGCATGTGACACCTGTTCTACACATTTTTACATAATAGCAGTGAAGTGATGTTCCTTTGTCTACCTGAGGAACTGTATATTTTGTCCGCTTTCTTTGTCAGTCATGTTCATAGTGATACCATCGCTGTAATGTATTTTTTAACAGCGCCATCTTGCGGTAAAGGCGTACAGAAAGCAATTTCCAGTTCCTATACCAAAGCATCATCACACGGACCTCGTGCAATTGGTAGTGCATTGTGGGACATGGTCAGAGGCCCCCCCACACTTTTTCAGGTACCCCCAAAGTTCTCTTTTTCCTTTCTAAGAACTGCCCCTTCCCCCTTCTAATATGTACCCCTTTTCCTTATAATGAAGGCACCCCCCCCCCCCTCTTTTCATAAGATCCCCTTCACTTTCTCATAACTGTCCCTTAATTCTCGTCTCTGATAAATTTCCCTTTTACAATCTGATAAGTACCCCTTTTCCTTTGACAGCTGCACCTTTATGTTTGCAATAATTGCCCCTTTTCCATTCTCATAAGCGCCCTTTTTCATCTTCGGTAAGTGCCCCTTTTGACGTACGAGAGCTTCCAAGAAGTATACCCCTTACCACTTATGATATATGTACCCCCTTCACCTCTAATAATTGCCCCTATTCAAATCTGACAGGTGCTTTTTTATTTTGATGAGTGTCCTTCTTTGTTGTTGCAATTATTGCCCACTTCCCCTTCTGATAAGTGCCCCTTTTATTTTTACACGTGCCGTTGTTCATCTTTGTTGAGTGTCCTTTTTCAGGTGCAGTAAGTGCCCCATTTTCACCTCTCTTTCTCTATTAGTTAAATAGTCTCCCCCTCCCAACCCCCTTCTCTCTCTCTCTCTCTCTCTGCTTCCACTTCCCGTCTCTTAACTGATCTCTGATTTCCTCTTGCTCTCATTTGCCTTTCCTCTCCAACTTCTTGACATTCTATTCAAAGACCTTATCTCTCTCTCTCTCTCTCTCTCCCTCTCTCTCCCTTTCTCTCTCTCTCTCTCTCTCTCGCTCTCTCTCTCTCTCTCCCTCTCTCGCTCTCCCCCTCTCTCTCTCTTACTCCCTCTCTCTCTCTCTCTCTCTCTCTCTCTCTCGACCTAGTATTTGATGGATGAAGAAATGGAAATAAAAATGTAGATAATCGATATACATGTACATGTATAATAGTATGTGAAAATATAGGCGAGCGTGAGATGAAGAGAAAGAGAGGAAGCCTTAGGGAAGGAGAGGGGGAAAGAATGAATATTAGAGAGAAAGCCGTGCAGTAATAATCTAAAGAGATAGAAAGATAAAGAAACGGGACATTTGAGCTGCTAGATGTCATATTACTTGATTTTATTCATGGAGGATTAGGCAATGCATGACACTGGATAATATTTCTAAGTTAAATGCCTTTTAACGTGTGATATTCGTCGATAAACTTTTATCCCGCAAATATAGATATATGTGATAAAGTTAGACACCCCCTCCCCCACCCGCCAAGGCCTGGCGGAGTTAACAGACCAACATTGAATGTTTGATGTATTTAATCTTTATAACCCTTCCTTTGCGGGTCGGAAACTATCGAAATAACATGTCTCCTCATACCTCACCAATAAGATTCAAACAAATGTTACCGTATACTTATAGTCGTATGATTATGAATTTATATATCAATGTTTACATTGTAAATTAGATGTTTTATTTGTAAAACATATTTTAAAGGGTGACACAACGATTACAATGGTTGAAATTTGACTAGTCGATCATACCCTTAGGCAATATCTATGAGAGATAAGAGATTGTGAAAAATATCATATACCTAAACGTAATCAAACAAGTTTTCATCTATTCATGACAAGAATAATAATTATGAAATTGATTTGCAATGTCAGATGATTGAGTTCAGCCCATTCAGTCCCGGGTGTGCAAGTGTTTGCTTTTGAATCTCCAACACAAGATGCCACGTTCCTGTAAGATAAGGAAGATGTATATTGGTTATCGAGTCACAACAATTAATGTTGTAGTTTAATGTGTAACGGTTGAAAATTGATACAGTATAATACCGTTACTATTCACACTGCCCTCCGTCTCCTCTCCCTAACCCCCACTTGAATCTTCTTCTTCTTGAATCTTACCATCCTCTTTTCTTTTCGTTCTTTACTATATACACCATCATGTTCTTCTTCACTTTTCTATATCTCCTTTATATATAACATGGATTAGGTTTGTACAAATAAGAAATTTAAAAAAATTAGAATTAGAGGCCAAATCTTCTCCAATTTTCAAAAATTATAGCATGTTGTAAATAAATCAAAGGTTAAAATGCTAAATATCACGGGCGTATAAACACCAATCAGGTGATTTTCATGAAGAGCAATTTAGGCCTAGGTTTCGGTAATTTCGAGCACACTATTTAAATTTGCCGCACAGATATATCAGATACTAGTAGTTGGTTGATTTTAATTGGTAAAGCACTGGTAATCAAGTACCTGGTAATCATCTACTGGTTTTCAACTGGTAAATCAACTGGTAATCATCTACTGGTAAATCAACTGGTATATCAACTGGTAATCATATACTGGTTTTCAACTGGTAATCATCTACTGGTTTTCAACTGGTAATATCAGCTGGTCTCAGATGTTAAATGGATTTTCAACTTGTCCCATGCAGTTGGTGGAGTTTCAATTTCAGTAACCTACTGGTCCCAGTTAAAGGTACTATGTCCCATTTGCAGACCCAAAAAATGAAAAAGTTAAATTCCAACTGCATTTGAAAGATAATACTAATTTATAACTTCCCTGAAAAAAAAAGGGGGGGGGGGGCTTGAAAATGTCTTCAAGTGGGAAAATATTGACTATTAGTTGTCAAATCGACTTTAGGGCTATAGAGCCCAAAAGTAATAGTCTTGATTTTCAGACAATTGTACCAAATGGTCATACGTTTTATGCAGCGCAAAGATTCAATCAGTTTAATCTTGGCCATCACAAGAAGTGGGTTATTGATGTAGACAAATGCTCATTTACCCTTTACAACTCTTTTCATGGATGTTATTACCAAAGAAGAAAAAAAGCCAGTCAGTCACTCAATAGTGTCTGACAGTGAAGTCTAGCAAGTAAACAGGTTTCCTTGCATAATTTGAATATGAGGACACTGCTAACGTTTAAATTTCACAGATAGGACATACATGACATATTCATAATTCCTGCAAAGTTCTACAGCATTTGAGGTTGGCTGCAAAAGGGACATAGTACCTTTAAAAGGGTATTCTTACTGGTCCTAAAGCTCAAACTTGTATTTTCTACTGGTTTCCAACTGGTACCAGTAATCTACTGGTCTCTCTCTCTCTCTTTCTTTTACACCTTATTAACATGCTCCAAAATTTGCGCTATCCATCTCCCATTCTATTATTGATAACAATCCAAACGTACTTCTTGCTTTCCCATTCCCTTTTAATTGCGTCAATATTGCTCAAGACATGCATACCACCTAGACCATGCTCAATCATCTCGAAAATCACTTCCATAAATACATATGAAAACCATTCATTAATCCAAAACAGAAATACAAACAAGCACATCAATCCAACTACTCGCTGATCAATTTATTAACAAGAAATTTTACAAAGTGACGGATGCAAAAGACATCATCACAGTATGGTACGTTTTTTTCTTTCTTCACCAAGACATAAAGGGGATCTTCTTAACAGTAAATTGTTTTATATCAAAGAGGAGCATAATTGTGTATTTTTCCACGAAGCCAATGACACTAGCTTTGGGGATACCGTCTTACACAAAGGGACATTATGACAACAGACTAGATTCAAGCCTACTACTCACAGGACTAATTGATGAATCTTTTGATTTGAGGGTAATTATAAAAGTACAATCACAGTGCCATATCAGCCATTGGTCATTTAAAACTTTTCTTTCTCCACTTGCATCATACCATTAGACATGTTTTGACCATTATGTTCCAGATTGAAGATGTTGCTTCCTGATATCTCTATACAATGGCCAGAAAGAGTCTTTTATCAATCATGTTATACGAGCAGACTAGAAAATGTTGTCAAAATCACCTTTTTTTCCTTCATAAATTGCTCCTTTCTATTAATGGATTCTCACCACTCTTGAAGTAAATAAAAGAAAAGGATCATTGTCTAGATCTGAATGTGTAGCACAAGAAATAGACAAGAATTCTTCTGGACTAGACGTTTCCAAGAATTTACAAAGGATGGTGTAGTTATGGGTTATATAAAATTTATACTGTTAGAAATTATCGTAGGATAAGTTACAGTATGCCCTTTATGATCTCCAGTGCAAGCATGTAATCCAGGGCTTGAAAATGGACTCACTAGCCTTGGAATAATAACCTAAATGCAATAAATAGGCATACTTGTTGGGAAAAGAAATAAGGGGTAAAGCTACGCACCTAATTGTGTCCTTTTCAAAGTCACTATTAATATCTTTAAAAAACACAAAAAACTATACTTGTATGTACTACGATTAAAAATATTCAACTTGCAGATCAAAGCGTTACTATACAGAACAAGAATTAAAACCGCTTTATAAAAAAGGTACACTACACACATCACAATATCATTCTCTACATATTACTCAAAAGGTTTTTGTCTTTTTTGTATGTGTAAAATATAATATTAGGAAAAAAAATTACCTGCTGTACAGGAAAATGGACAAATATTTACAATACTTATATCACACAACAAGACCCATATCTCTCTCTCTCTCTCTTTGTCTCATCTTTTCCTGACCTAGCATCATCAAGTGTTTCAATATAGGTAATATCAAACTACATTGTTTCTTCCACCTTACAGTGTTTAGTTGGCAAAAGATACATGATATGAACAAGATAATGCTCAACCAAGAATTAAGCGGTTTCCAAACCTTTATAACTGACTGTACAAGCAGTTGCGCTTCAAGGGACAAGCCGGGGAAGGGAACAAAGTACATGTACATCATTAAAAGATGACAGTGCAATAGGGATACAATAAAAACAAGTTCCTGAATTGGAGACGATACAGCAAATAGCAATAACTGAAAAACGGTGTAAGCGGTTCCATGGTACTTAGTCATATCATCTACATTGCTTACACTGAAAGTTATGCCGAGAAAACCTTGGCTGCAGGGTTCCGTAACACAAAGCTTAGCAAAGGATCGGACAATTGACTTTTTGAGATTGATTGCACAAAGTTATCAATCGTACAATCAATTGCTCTGCTTTGGGTTTCAGGACCAAGAAAGTAATTGATTCACATTTTGTCTGAAAGATCAACATAGCATTTACAAAGTCATTGACAAGGAAGGTCATAGACTAGGGTGGTCTCTGTGAAACATCAAAGAGATCTTACACATGAAAAATCTATATCACATTCAGAGCCCTATTCAGACATAATGCATTAAACCACCTTTTTGTGAATGCCACTGCAACATAAAAATACACTGAACATGGAAAGCAGGGTCAAAATACACAGCTGTGAACAGCACTGTCCCTAAATATAGTCATTGATCCGTGTATCTTATATCATGGCATCCTTTAGGCATTTTACCAACTCATTAACTCATACATGTATGAATAGTGCTAAGTTTTATGTACAAAATTAATACATGAAAGTTGATCCGACATAGTTGATAGTAAGTTGCTATGTAGCCTGGTATCATGAACATAATATCAAGTTTACAATCATCAGTGAAATTTTAATGACCTAAAAAAAAAAATTAAAAGGAATAAAGAGGAACCAACTCGATAGTATCATACCCTTTGATCAAAAACACAATTTGGAATACTGTTTTTTTTTTTTTTTACAGAATTACCAATTAAAAGAGGAAATAAGCTGATCGTCATTGTCCCAGCCTGATATGGTACTGTAGCTGGCATGTACATCTGAACTCTGTCTAGCTTTCAATCTGTTAAATATAAATAACCAGGAACAACATGAACATTATTATTATACACTGTAGATTAGAGGGAAACCATAGGCATAGCATGGATCAAAAGCCCATTTATAAAGTGAAACTGTGTGTTGATCACAAGAGACTCTGAATACACTGTATTTCTTCTATCAAAGCAACAAACATATTATGCATTACAAGTACAAAACAGTTCCTACCTTACACTTAATACTAACATATTGAAATAAGTTGAAATACGTCTAAAAGGTGATGAGTAGTATGATTGTATGGATATTGAAAATTTCTTTGATTTGATTGTTTTCATTGACCAAGACCTTGTTCCAAGATACAATAACTGTTATAAGCTACTGAAATGTTGGCATTTGATTGGCTGAGAGCGAGTATGTCACAGAAATTTAGCATTTGTTATTGATAACAAGTTTTATGAAACATGGCCAAAGCTTGCCAAAACTCCTACAGTCTCCCCCACCCATTACTCAGCCACTATACACTTTCTACCAAAATTGTTTGGCACATGTCATGTTTTTGTAATCTTGAGCATTTAGTGTAAACTTTGTTAGATTATGTGAGAATTTATTTTCAATATTAACCAGAACTCAAGTTTATCTTAAATTCAGTTACTCAGGAGAAAGTTTCATTTTAGAAGTTAATATATTTTCAATCTAACAAAATGCAGGACAGTTTAGAAAATAAATAATTCAGAATTTAACACACAAAATAGTCCAATATGTAAGGGGGAAAATACAGGCAAAAGGTATTAGAGAATGGACTGAAAAAAAGGTGAAAAAGAAAACAAAAAAGAAAGAAAATTCAGAAACCCTTAGCATGTTTTGTTCCTTAAAAATATTAAGGAAAACAAAATTGGAATGCATTTATCCAATATGTCCAGAAGTGTTTGGAAACCAGCAAATAGCCCATAATCCTTCCCTTAATGAATGGCACTCACCTGTGAATTATACGCGTCTAATTCAGCATCCAATTCAGCTGCAGTTGGAGTAGGTTTATTACCTCCTGCACCACCTCGACCCCTTCCTCTCCCTCGACCTCCGGCACCACGACCCCTCATTCCACCTCCTCGTCCTCCCCCTCCTCCTCCACCCCGTCTGCCCTGGTTGTAACCCCCTTGATTGTTGCCTCCCTGATTACGACGTACTCCTCCTCCTCCCCTTCCTCCTCCTCGCGCTCCTCCTCCTCCTCGTCCTCCTCCCCCTTGCTGTCTCCTGCGTGGGCAAAAAGAATTATAATACAGTTAACTTTCTGGAGAAGTAGGTTTAAATCGCCACTTACAGATCTACAGATTACATCTATGGCTGGTTTCAGTTTGAAGAGAAAGTGGCAGAAAATTTTTCTGCATGTTTATAATGCGGATTGTTTGGACCAACATAATCTCAAAGAAGCTAATGAAATGCTGAGCCGTATGAAGAGACAACTTACAACTCAATATAAATGACTGCATTGCATGCTGCGCAAACTGCAATGCATTGATGTTGAATGACAAAGCGTTTTCATCAATTCACTTTCTTTCTTTGCTCCTTTCCAAACTTTGATACAAAACGAAAAATTCTTCCATGATAAGGTTGAATATTTCATACCACTGTGTAGAGATACCATGCGCATTTCACGCCCAATGCAAGTTTTCTTCATGAATATGTTCATTAAGCCGATTCATGTGGTCAATATTATATTAAACGGGTCGTATTGGCGTGGGTCAGGGTAACTGTGGCCCTGGTCAATATTATATTAAACGGGTCGTATTGGCGTGGGTCAGGGTAAGTGTGGCCTGTGGTCAATGTTATTATCAAACAGGTCGTATTGGCGTGGGTCAGGGTAACTGTGGCCTGTGGTCAATATTATATCAAACAGGTCGTATTGGCGTGGGTCAGGGTAACTGTGGCCTGTGGTCAATATTATATCAAACAGGTCGTATTGGCGTGGGTCAGGGTAACTGTGGCCTGTGGTCAATATTATATCAAACAGGTCGTATTGGCGTGGGTCAGGGTAACTGTGGCCTGTGGTCAATATTATATCAAACAGGTCGTATTGGCGTGGGTCAGGGTAACTGTGGCCTGTGGTCAATATTATATCAAACAGGTCGTATTGGCATGAGTCAGGGTAATTGTGGCCCGTGGTCAATATTATATCAAACGGGTCTTTTGGCGTGGGTCAGGGTCACTGTGGCCCGTGGTCAATATTATATTAAACGGGTCGTATTGGCATGGGTCAGGGTAACTGTGGCCTGTGGTCAATATTATATCAAACATGTCGTATTGGCGTGGGTCAGGGTAACTGTGGCCTGTGGTCAATATTATATCAAACAGGTCGTATTGGCGTGGGTCAGGGTAACTGTGGCCTGTGGTCAATATTATATCAAACAGGTCGTATTGGCGTGGGTCAGGGTAACTGTGGCCCGCGGTCAATATCATATCAAACAGGTCGTATTGGCGTGAGTCAGGGTAATTGTGGCCTGTGGTCAATATTATATCAAACGGGTCGTATTGGCGTGGGTCAGGGTAACTGTAGCCCCTACTGGTCAAGACTACTGGATTACACAAATTAGGCTTTTTAGGTGATAATCCTTACTTACAAAAGATGTTCATGTACTTATTGTTGGGTAATAATGAAACCCAACACCTACCAACCAACCAACAATCATTGAAAATTGGAAATACGAATTGTAAGGAAGTAGTCAAAGCTATAACATTTTTACTCAAGAGGCGCTGTGCATTCATTCATTGAGTCAGAAAATTGTGTATGAACATCCACTGTATGCCGATAGTTTTAAGGGGCAACAATTACCCCATATGCATACCTGCCAACATTTGAAAATGAGAATTTAGAATTTTTAGCATGGTATGTCTTCGAAAATAAGAAATCTGTACCCTTAACAGGCGTTCGCACATGCAGCGGCAGTGTAACTGGCAATACCCGGTAAATCTGTGCAAAAAAGCGAATACAAATTCGCTGCTCAATCATGCAGCCCTTCAACGCACGCAAGACGTGAACTCTCACATCGCGGCATATGATAAAACAAGCTTAATTTGGCTTAAGCAACACAAAAAAAATAAAAATAAAAAATAAAAAAATAAAAACAAAAAATCGAAATTTTGAAAATCCGGGAGATTCCAGATTTTGGGGTCCTAAAAATCCTGAAAAACAGGATATTCCGGATTATTCGGGAGGGTTTGCAGGAAAGCATATGATATTCCCAATTTAAATTCCTTTGTAGAGCTTAATACTGAAAATATAGTGATGCAAGTATTTATTATTTATATTGTTTTCATTATTTCACATCATTTTGATTTCACCCCAAAGTGGGATTGCAACTTTCCACTTCGCAAATTTAAACTGCTGCATGCATTGAGCCCCCTCCCACCCCACCCCTGGACATTACACTGGATTCAAGGACTGATATTCTTATCCGACAGGTAGAAGTATCAGTTATATCTTTCAGTGATGCAACAAAGAGTTACATGTACAAGCTCTCCAAAACGAAGAGAGGGACTACAATAACCATAATCCCCCTACTAAAAAGGCGTGGTCATCGAGCTATTCAGGAATCCTCGCACATTGTTCCATTGTGAGACTTAAATTGATACCAGGATATAGCAATTCTCACTAAGTTTTAACCTATAGAATCATGTCTCCATGAGTGTTCAGACAGTACATGTCATACAAGGTTACTGACATTCTACCTCCTATTAACCCTTACTGTACTGGGCTATTTTGAGCACCTCCTGACTGGGGGGGGGGGGGGGGGGGGGGGGGGGGGGGGCCTGGGAGGCCCCCCCTATGATCTCGGCCGTCGGATGTCCGATGAACACGAAAATTTGCATGTTTGTAGATATTTACGTAACGAACAAGATGGTGTAATTAGTTTTTTGCGAATATGCAAATTTTTGTCGTTATAGCCTAATTAATTATGCAAAATGCTAATTTTATGCATTTTACAGAAAACGTGTCACACTTCACTTTTTGAATGTTGAAACTCATTATTCATATGAAACTTCTTTTCTAACACAAAATATTTATTTGGATGTAATTAATAATGATAATTTATGCAAATTTGATGCGATTTTCAAATATTTATTTTCTAATGTATTTTATTGTTTTTTTATTTCTTATTATATCTATTGTTTTTATTTCTTATGTATTCTTTTGTTCTGGAATACATCAAGTTACTTTGAGAAACATATAAAAGCAATTCAATATCAATTCATATCACCCACTTAGGAAGGAATACATCTAAACCTGTATTCACATTTCTGCTTGTACATGAATATATGCAATTATAGCATATTTTTGATGACATGCGCATACTAATTGTTATGTAACACCTCACAGGTATATCCGATTGCGACGAAAATGGTATCAAAACGTGCGTAAGACTTGAGGGAAAAAAGTCATGAAACGACAATTCAAAATTTCAAGCGGTTGCGGCGCAATCTCCGAAAATGTCGAGGGGGGGGCCTCCCAGGCCCCCCCCCCCAGTACAGTAAGGGTTAAAACAACAATAGGCACAGATATGACGCTAATCTCAAAACAGGATGTAGCAAGGTACATCGCAAGAACAATCAGACTTTTTCCAGGAAGCAATTAGCCACGATAATAGTCAATCACACTACATCAAGTGGGGCTTACTCCATGAAAATTGCCAGTGAATTTAACCTACACTAAATATACTCAAAAGCTGAAACTAATTTCCTCTCACAAAAAATGATAGCACTACACCTTCATTTCTTGAAAGTTATACAACTTGTAGAATTGTTATCATAATGCTGTTTTAGCGATTTTGACACTTATTTGGTCCTGTTATGTAATATGGCCAACAGGGACATTTGATCGCTCCAAATATCAGTGTTTGATGTGACCAAAGCAACAGACCCACACAAATAAGTACTGCCAAAACAGGCTTCAGAGTAGAAGCAATGGATCACAAGCTCAAGATCAACTTACGGTCTTGACTGCATCGGGCTTGGATCAATCTCATTGGCTGAAGCCACTAGCTGAATATTCATCGCTCGACCTGTTGGAATAACAAGGGGGGGGGGGTGGGGGAGGGAGGAGAAGAAGGAAAGAGAATGGTTATACATTCAACTTCTTGTATTTTGACAGATCTATTGAAGAGGCACTTACATGTAAATTGTGCTCATAACACCTTCACCAAAATCAGCTTTTAATGATTTATGTAATATATATATACATCCAATAGAGAAAGGAAGTTCTTACTTCATATTGATTCGTAATCCAGGTTACTGGTTCTAAAAAAGAGAGCCTGATATTTGACACAAAAGCATCCAAGCAATGGATTGAGCAGGAAAATTCAGTGTTTGTGGCTGATGTGATCAACACACCATTGTTCAGTGCTACATTGGTAGAAACCACCAACACTTTGGTATTCTATACTTGGAAATACTGAAAGAGTTTGCAAAATAAATAATGCATTTAGCCAATGTCGATTAACACCCCACTTCCCCCTTCCTCACATAACCATACACAATATTTAATTGGATTTAATGCAAACATATTGAAAAGAGAATTCTTGACCCATCATCCTTCCTAGCATACTACAGGAATAGATGAATTAATTACTCTTATATGTCTATAAATCATTGCACCACCTAGCTCCTAATTACCTGTCTAATTGTTTAACTTTATATACACCAAGCAGAAATCTCAGATCTTCAAATGATAACCTCTGTCTAAATTATCCAATTACACGTGTCCAAGCCGGGGATAGGACTTTCACGGTAGCAGCATCCAAAGGGTGGAATAATCTCCCCATGTCCATCAGACAATCTGCCTCTATCGATATTTTTAAGAAGGCTCTGAAAACTCATCTCTTTACATGAATTCTCCTCTATGTTTAATTATTTAATTTAATCAATTGAATTTAATATTTTATATGGAATATCTAATTGTAGCCTTTAATTACTATATGTAGTAAAGACCAATAATATTATTTGATGTTAGCGCTCTGAGCCTTATGGGAATGGCGCCCTAAATGTTCATTGTATTGTATTGTATTGTATTATATAATAACACAAAGTATCAGGAAAATATACTTTAAGACCCACCATCTAATGGCACTTGGTTGTACTGTTTGATGGCCTTCATGGCATCAACTCTTCTTTCAAAGACAACGTCTGCTGTACCAAGACTTCTTCCAGTCCTGTCATAATGTACTGCTGCTTTCTTCAGGCTTCCAAAGTCGGCAAATAATTCCTAGGGTCAAAATATTATGAGGAGCTTGTGAAAGTTAATCATTGTAAAAATAACATATCAGAATGCTGATCAAAACATTCAGGACTGAATGTGTACAGCAGGATAATTCAAACAAGTTCAAGATATCAAACTGACAGTTTGTTCGTTTTTTGAAAGTGAGATTTGCTCTTTCCATGTAGCACTGCTGAAACAATCTTTTACAACATGGTTCAAATTAACATCAAACAAACAATAGTCAATTTCAGTTTATCGCATATCAGTATAAACAAATTATTTTGTTTGTTTATTGTTTATGGGAGCTCCTTTGGGATAAAGTAAAGAACAAGTAAGATTTCATCAATGTTAAAACTTGTATTTATTTTTAACCAGAGCTCTTTTTCAGTTTTCCAGTACCCTTAATACGAACCTCAATATCGTTGTTTGAAACACCAAAATCCAAATTTGAAACGAGCAGTTTTCCGGATGCGTTTGCTGCGGTTGTCAATCCAGCCCCTTGTCTCCTGATTCCAGCTCCAGCTCCTCCTTCACTGTACATGTCATGCTGCCACTGATCAGGCATCTGTTTAGGCTAAACACAATACAAAAGAAACATGCAGAAAAAAATGTTAAAATGTAAAATTTACCTAATTAATCAGTGATAGCCAAGTGTTCAATCATACAAGTACAGTTCAAACATGGAGTATTCGTGACAAAGAACTCAAAAGGGTATTATTTTCCCCCATTTTCTTTGAGATTTTTGTTATGGACCTCTGTAGATTTGAAAGGTTCCCACTTTTTATGCTATTCATCTCAGTAAGTAAATACATGTACAGTAGTTTCAAAAACAGACTAGACAAACACTGGAAGAATCTACCTACCGTCTTTGACCCCGAAGGAGAGAGAAATTCAAATTGAGAACTGATTCTGCTCCATGCACACACATCACTATCCAGTTTAAACATACATGTATGTATGAAAGACAAATGTTCACTTGATAAGACTTACGCCCGAAGAGAGATGGAAATGTTTTTAACCCAATGATCGATGAACAGGCATTGCCCTACAAGCATCGATGGATTAAAGTAAAGTAAGTAAAGTATGTTTGGCATTGCCAGACATTCGGACTGTAGTGAATGCATAAAAGTAGCAAGTGACGCCTTCTGCTTGAATCTGTATGCAAAGAAAAAAAGCAATTGCTTGCAACTTTGCAAGTAAAAGCTTGTGCTAGCAAGCACAAGCAATTGCTTGCTACAGGTCTGCAAACAATTGCTTGAAATTTACAACTGCAAGCATTTTCTTTAAAACATGTATGCATTGAACAAAACTTCTGCCTGTTCTTACATATTTTTTCACCCTCCGTTGTTTGTGTTTAAACTTAAGGCATCATGTTCATGCTTGTATAAGTTGTATTTGTAAGAAGAAAACAAATGTTGTACAGGAATAGAATAAATTAAGAACAAATGTAACCAAGAGAATGGGCGAGACCTATTTGTAAACTTTTCTGTTTCGACAAGGAGAACCTTCGAGTCTGAAAGTCTGAGCACATGACACAAGCAAAATTGCAAAATATTTACTTACTGTAGTTGTGCAGGTATAGATACTTAGATAGGACCTAGACCTAGATAGTCTAGATTTAAGCAATTGCTTGAGCTTTACTAGTCTTAGCTTGACAAGGTCTAACTTTACGCCAATTGATGTGACCTGTGTCAGTCTACAACATGTATCTGTCTGTCTCTCTCTGTCTCTCTCTCTCTCTCTGTCAAAACATTTTATGAGTACGGCACATTGACTGTCTTATCATTTTCAGATTGACTTTCAGACTTAGGAGTCTAGATTCTTTCTACAGTTTACATTAAGTCAAAATCTAAAATTAGAAGATTCAAAATATCAGATTTGTATGACTAGTATCCCCCGAGTCTGACTCTGCTCCGACTCTAGCTTCTCTCTCTCTCAATGCTGAGTCATCTTCGTCAAGCTTATCATTTACAGTCGAACAGTTTATTTATCTCATCTATCACTTCTATCTTTGAATTCTCGATCATCTTTTCAAACTCAAAATAAGTGAACACGTTAAATATTTGCAGTTACCCGTGAGTATGGGCCTGGCGCAGCTCTGCCAGCGCCACCACCTCTTTGTCTTCTCATCGGTCCGCCGCCGCCGCCGCCGCCTCCGCCTCCTCCACCCCGGCCTCCACGGCCACCACGACCTGCACCGCCGCCGCTACCTCGTCCCCTGCCACGGTTTCCACCTCTTCCTCTTCCTCCTCTACCGCCACGATTTCCTCTGTTTGTCTTAATTATGTCCTCAAGGCTCATATCAATCTTGTCACCGCTCATGTTGTTGTTTCTACCCTTTTGCAGGGACTCTATATCGATGTAAATAAAGTTCAATTATACCCTACAATTTTCAAAAATCGTTAACACGCGATGTCGTTACACAGGAGGTTTCACGCTGTATTAAATTGTACGCGAATTTGGCGTCGCGTCTAAAGAAAGAAATAAGCGAACGATACAATCAAACCGTGGCGTCATATGGCTTTGTCTTGATTGCCAATTTAACAACTTGTATCAAGTTGTTTGAGACGATAATTTGAAAATTAAAGTAAAATTCACTTTATCATTATAAAATCTGGCAGATATATTCAAGGAAAATATGATGCATGGATCTATTTTTTCTGCACTTTTTCTTCTCCCAAGAATAGGCCTTATCTTCTACACATTTAAATATAGGCCTATACGTAATTCAAAATGAAGGACTATAAAATGGTCAAACATATATATGCAGCTACTGGCAGGTAAATGCCAGGTGAGTCATATCGTTTCTCATATCCCATCTCTTTTTCTGTCCCACTCAGTTTTTGTTATAATAATTTCCTTTTCATTGCCTTGATCTAAAATAAAGAAGACTAGCTCTGTCTCAGTGATTTTTCCCGGTCCTCTATGCAATCGATATAATTATATCAGTGCCATTCTTTTAATCATGACCCTTTTTTCACATGAAGGAAATTTTGAAATATTATCGTGGAAAAGAAAAAAGAAAGGATTGGAAATATTCATGCAAGCTGATCGAGGAAAATGTAAATTCTTTTTTTTTGCGATTTGTTTAAAATGTGAAACTAAAATTTGTTTATGTGAATATTTCTCTTCTGTACTGTATAATATGTCCCATTTGCAGCCAATTTCAAATTCTTTAGAAAGCTGCAGGAATTATGAATATGTCATGTTTGTCACGTATCTGTGAAATTTAAACATGCAGTGTCCTACTTAAATTATGCAAGGAAACCTGTTTACTTTCTAGACTTAACTGTCCAATTGACTGACTTTTTTTTCTTCAGTAATACTGGCATAGTACGTGAGCTGAAGGGGTAAAGCATAGTTGTCTACATCAGTAACTCACTTCTTGTAATTAAACTAATTGAATCTTTGCGCAGCAAAAAACGTACACCATTCGGTACAAGGGTCTGAAAATCAGACTATACTAAAAGGATTGCAATCCCTAAAATCGATTTCGACAACTAACAGTCCTTATCATTTTCCCACAAAAAGATATTTTCAAGCCCTTTCGTTTCGAGGGAAGCTCTGAATTAGTATCTTTCAAATGCTGGTGGAATTTAACCTTTTCATTTTTGTTAGCCTTCAAATGTGACCTATACCTTTTTCTTAAAAGAGGTTGATATCACTGATGTATTATACTGATAACCTTCTCTCTCTGCACAGACGCTGTTTTCTTCCCAGCTGCAAAAAGTAAAAATCGTTATACTATTTATATGGTCGCTAAATTGGCACAATCTTCATGTCGAATTCTTCAGTTTCATACGGCTTCACATGTTGCCAATCTGTAAAGATTAAGTAAAAGAAAATTATATCTTTTCTCGTATTTTGATTATTTTCCAAGTCTGTAATAATTAAAATATGTCTCAAAATGTAATTGATAATCTACAATCATCTAAAGATGTTTGATAAGTATTATTTATTTAAAAATATCAATCTGTAATGTTGAAAGTCTTCCCATGTCACGTAGCTTATACGTATTTGCATGCATGCATGTATATAATAACTATAAATGCGCCTCTAACGTAGAACCAACGAACTCAAACCAAGATTTCGATGCGTAGAACCAACGAACTCAAACCAAGCGCGCGTGCTCACAGAGCCTTGCGCTATTCTATCCCCACAATTCTACCGCCAAACCGTAAAGCCGATCGTATTCTAATACATTTAGATATTATTCATACATTTCTAGTTTTCAAAAGCTTCTTTCATCGGCTTCTACCACCGGTTTCTTTCAAAGCTTGTTATATAACTCACGATAAACCATAATCCCATATTTAACCATAATCACTGGCGTACTGGTGGGGGGGGGGGGGGGGGGGGGGGGGGGGGGGGGGGGGGTCTTTCTCTAATAATTCAATAAAACTTGAAAGCTTCCACTTAATGAAGTGTCAAAGCTTCGCGCAGGAGGGGGAAAACTGAGAAATAAACTAGGTCACGGCCCCGGGTTTATAGGGTTCAATTTGTAAACATTGGGACATTGGCATTAATACATTTGTCGGTAATTGGTGGCTAGTTTTGTCACTCACGACAAAAGGTCTAGCGAAGCCCCTGATAACAACACAATTTATACACTCGAGATAATGTTTGCAAATACTACTGGTGAAGTACCGGATCATCGTCTTTTAAATTATACATTGTGCAGCAACGACTCGTGAGAGATCACTTTTCTCTAACTTCTAACCAATCAGAAGGCCTCGGGTTTTTTCCAGGATGTGCCGGTGGACATTAATGCGCCAAATGGGTTCTCAAATTGCAAAAGGATCCCTCACTCTTGGAGGGGGTAGGAGAAAGCAGTCTTACGTCATATTAATTACTCCAGGAAGTGCCTGAAAATGCGTCTAATGTGGTTCTAAAATTGTAAATGCTTCCTATACTTGGGAGGGATCAGAACCCCTCCCAGATCTACCTCCGCTTGGTCGCTCCGCTCCCTTGCCGCTAAAGGTTCGTTCTGTCGCTTCATCGTTTTCACCCCATGCAATTTGGTGCCCCCCCCCCCCCCGGTAAGAAATTCCTGGATCCGCCACTGATGCCCATAACCCTTGAGTTTCGGGGGCTCCGTCCCTTGACCCCCCGCCGGGGCTTTGCCCCTAGACCCTAATTTGAAAAACGTTTAGCGGGGCCTGCATGTAAGAGTGGGGTGATGCGGATTTTTTTTGTCAGCCCCCCCCCCAAAAGTTTTTGCTCATTATGCCACTCAGCCACTGACCATAATCAATAGAAATCGAAGGCATCATTTAGTACCAAGAGAAAGGAAATTAAGGCTGCATGCACATATGGCTTACAAATTGATAATAGTTGATAAATAGATTTTGAGTCCGAAATCTTTTCTTTCATCTAGTTATATGACTTTTTGATATTTTTCTTGACAACTGGTTTAATACATCAATAATAATTGTTTGAACTTTAAGTATACATGCATGCATATACATGTATAATAATATGCAGCGATGTAAATTGGCGTACTGATGCGGGGGGGGGGGGGCGTGGGGGCAGTAGCCCCCAAATAAAAATATTTATAATTCGATAGCAGTCATTTACAAATGTTGCTGAAATGACATGATTTTCCGTTTTTTCTCACTTGTGCCTATTATGCCAGAGGCGGAAGGCCCGAGGGGGCACTGTGCCCCCACTTTTCAGGTACTTCCCAAAAGCCCCCTTTTACGTATGACAAGTGCCCCTTTTCTTTTCTAATAACTGTCATTTTCCTCGCTTTTCATCTCTGGTGACTACGTCTTTTCAGGTGCGAGAAATTCCCCTTTTCACCTCTGATATTTTTGCCCTTTTTTATACTTTGATTCGTGCCCCTTTTCCTTTAAGATAAGTGTACTTTTTCCTTCGTAATAAGAACCCCCTTCTCTTTTTCCTAAATGCAACCTTTCATCTCTGATATAGTGGTAATAAGTAGCCTACCGTATTTCCTTCATATAAGTTCCCCTTTTCATTTTTTATATGAGCCTTTTCCACTTTTCCAAAATGCCCCTTTTAAACATATTGATAAATAGGCTACCCCTATTAAAATCTGACAGGTGCCTATCTTTTCGTTCAACAGATTCCTCATTTCCGATTCTCACAAGTGCCTTTTTTCATCTCTGGTGAGTGTCCATTTTTAGGTGCAAGAAGTCTGTGCAAATTTTTCCTCTGATAATGGACCTTTTTACTGTGACGTGAGCACCTTTTCTTTTCTCTTGACTGTCCTTTTCCCCCGTTTTGATAAGTGACCAGGCGCGTACACAGGGGGAGGGTTTGGGGGGTTAAACCCCCCCTTTGGTATTTTTTGTGTGTAAACCCCCCCCCCCTAAATTTCCCTAAACCCCCCCCCCCTTTTGGATTTTTTTTTTTTTTTTTTTTTTTATTAAAAAAAAAAAAAAAAATTCCCATGGCTGACCTCAAAAAGATGACCTTACCCCCCCCCCAACGGAGCAAAATGTCAAATTTTCAAATTTCGATACCCCCCCCCCCAAAAAAAAAAAGTGTCCTCTTACCCCCCCCCCCCCCCCCCCCCCTTGAAAAAATCCTGCGTACGCGCCTGTAAGTGACTATACTATTCCTTTTCCCCGCATGCAACCCTAATTCAAGGCGGCTTAGAGCCCCCCTTTTCTTGAATTTCCCCTAGAGTTCGCTCGCTCGCATTTATATAAAGATGCTATTATGTCACTTATAAAAGACCTTCTCAGTCTTTCTTCATTGTGTTCAATGCTCATCTGTTTGTTGTTTTTTTTTTTGTTGTCTTTTTGTCTTTTTTTAAAGATGTAATTTTTCGCACTGGGACCTCACAAATCTTATTTTTTTTTGCTCGTTCGAAAATTAATATTCAGACCATCACACCCACCTGCACAGTATGTTGCTTATCTTGTACCGCGTCAGCCGGCCGGCGAATAAGCGGGGGGGGGGGGGGGGGTGGTAGTGAACACTATTTATGTTAAACAAACACCCACTCCCCCCCCCCCCCCTTTTTTTGCGCTAGGGGGAGGGGCCCGTCTTCTTTTGAATTACAAAAAAAGTTAAGTTTACCTGTTAGTTGGCCAGGGGAGGGGACCCGCCCCCCTAGATCAGCCACTGGATAGTAGACTAGTACTATTACCTTTCCAGTAGAGACAAAAACAATAGAAATGTATGTAAACGATACGCGTACCAGAGTACCAGCTGTGGTACATGCTGCCTATAATAATATTCCTGAAATTTATAGAAAAGATAAATGAAATTGAATTTTGAAAAGAAGGAATAAGAATGTGCTTTCCTTCAAGGCGTCATTCACATTACCAGCAAAAGGCGAGCAAATTATCTAACCCCCCCACCCCCTCCCCCCTCCCCCCTCCCCCCTCCCCCCTCCCCCCCCCCCCCCCCCCCTCCCCCTCCCCCCTCCCCCCCTCCCCCCCCCCCAGCTAACAAAGAAGCGGCCCGACTTCAAAGAATCCCTGAAACGCTCCGTCCGATCCCTTCACGAGATCTGCGGCAAGGATTCATAGCGCAAAATACTGGGCGCGGGCAGCGCACGCATGCACAGTACGGGTGTAATGTAACGCGTCGCGTCGATAATGCATGCAAAGCTAAGTAACTTATGATTCGATTGATGGACATCTCGGGACTGTAAGAGTAATTTAAAATCAAGAAATTCTGTTTACAAATCAGTTTTCCGACATCACATTTAGTATCTGTGTAAAGTGTGTGTGGTCGTCGTCATGTCGGCCCAAGAACAGATGCGGAAAATGCTCGATGAGCTGATGGGGACATCTCGAAATGGTAAGGTCCAAACCTAGGAATAGGTAAAAATAGCCTAGAGGGGTCTAGACTCTAGCCAACATTTCCCTAAAAACAAAGTCAGAGACATACTTTCGTATCCATTTTGGACCCCTAGCTCCGGCTTTGAGATACCCCACTAAAACATAGACTACCAACAAATCAACTTGATCTTTATCAATTGTTCAAATAATGGTCATGATATCATTGTCTATTTTTTATCCCTTTCGTTTGTTGGAGTATTTTCCCTAAATAGTAAAAACAAAGTCAAAGACATCATTAAATTAGATCTATGATATTCACTTTCTGACATTGTTTCCTGGCAAACTGCTGCATTAATGGGGTATCTCAACGCCGGAGCTAGGGGTCCAAAATGGATACGAAAGTCACTGAAAGTACACTTGCGCCTTTTTGGCGCTTTGCCACGAAACAGTGTCAGAAAGTGAATATCATAATTAAATGATGGGCGCTTGTTCAGAAGCCTAGAAATTGACTATTCAAAATTTGACCTGTAGACCCTATCTAAGTTCAGCGCGGCGTGGAGAAACCCTACTGAAACATAGATTCTAGGCCTACCCAAAATGTTTAAAATGAAGTAAAAATTCATCAAATGTCCAAATAAAGATCATGAGTTAAATTCCTCATGTTTATTGCCTGTTTCGTGTCAATTTTCTTGTTATTTTTTGGGAAAACAAATAGTAGGAGACCCTAGATCTATACACCTTTTCAAAGGTTTCACGGCAAACCACTGCAAGCAAGTTCATAGGCCTACTGATGGTGGGTTGCAAGCGCGCGCCTGTGTGAAGTTATCTATCGTAATGATAATCTGAGACATTACGGTAGATTACTTCACACAGGCGCTTGCCTGCCCGCAACCCACCTTCGGTATGCACTTGTGCAGCGGTTTGCTGTGAAACCTGTGAAAAAGTGTATAGGCCTACTAGAACTAATATCAACGTTTATCCAAAAAATACTCCAAAATCTACACGAAACGGGTAATAAACATAACAAATTTTAACTCATGATCTTTATTTCGACATTTAATGAATATTTACTTCCTTTTAGGTATGTTTTAGTAGGGTATCTCCACGCCGGAGTTACGGGTCAAATTTTGGACCCGCATCCCTTCGTCAGTATACGGATTACGGTATGCAATTGTATTATTATTAATTTATGCAATCAATTTTAGCGAAATCCCTGCGCAAGCTTCTTTTTACACGTTTTTTTCTTCAATTCTGTAGTCTGACTCTAAGCCTGGTATTGATGATGCTGTGTTTTTATGTTTTGCATTTCTGTCCTCTTTTTTTCAGGTGAAAATGCAGGACGCTTTCACTTCACAGATCCAAAGGTTTGCCGCTCATTCCTGCTCAATTGTTGCCCACATGACATCCTTGCTAGCACGGTAAATATCAAATCTTCTTATCAAATTCTTCAATGTCCGTTTGTTTCTAAATGATTTGCCATTTTATTTCATATTTCGTCGTTCGAAATTACATGAGATCCCGCCAAGCGCATGCGCAGTCAATTCGCCGCGCAATTGAATTTTACAGGGAAAGTAACTTTCCCTCAGCAGTCAAAATACCTAATTTTCGGCGTTTTTTTCGGACCACCGGTTTCGAAAAAATACTTCATTAGGGAGAGAAACTCTCCTTTTTCATGTTTTTGGAAGACTTTTGAGAATCTGTGCTGTTTGTATATCAAAAATCGAAGTTTTGTTCCGATTTCCGTACACGATGGCGTCTCCGTCAGGCAGCACCAAGCAGAAAACCAGCGAAACGCTGAGCACGGCTAAAGCCGGAACTTCCCCGGGCGAAACCGCCGCGGGCCCCTCTACGAAGCCTGAGCCAAAGCGCTCATCGGCAGTGAAATCCTCCGATACGAAACGCAAAAGTGTCTTGGCAAAGCCTGCCTCGAATGAGTCTAAGAACTCTGGGCCTAAAAAGAAGGGCAAAAAGCCTGAAGAAAAGGAGGACTTCACGGATTTACGAGGAAGACTTGACAAATTGGAATCCTTAATGGAGAGAATGGTGGATTTTTTGCCTTGTCAATCTGCAACTCGCCCCACAGGGGATACAGCTGCGACGAACGTGAGATTTCGTGAAGTTGAACATGATGATGATGATTTTGAGCATATTGACACTGGAAACATGGGCCAATGCCCTACGTCATATGACATTGGCAGCATGGATGAGGGTGATGTCAACGAAACTGTTGCACCAGGTTTAGACCAGGAGAATGAGGACAAAGTTCCTGCCCTGGCTCAGAAATTTGCTATCCCTACTGGGGTTGGTGGCGCGATCCACGATGATTTAGCAAAGTCTGCCATGTACCTCATGTCCCACCAGCTAGAGGAAAATGTGTTGGAGGAAGCTGGAGGGAAATACCCTCCTCCAAGCAATTGTACTCCACTGTGTTGCCCCAAAGTGAATGCAGCAATATGGGAAAACCTATCCTCGCAAACGAGAAGCCGTGATTTGAAACTGCAAAGAATCCAAAAGCCTTTGACAAGGGGACTCACAGCTTTTATTCAAACTCTGTCCCCCGATAGCCTATCTGAGACACAACAGGATGCATTGGCATTGCTGTGTAACACAAACTTTGAAATCAACTGCTTACGCAAAGATCAGATTAAGCCAGACTTAAATGCCAAGTACTCACATCTTTGCAAACCTGCCACACCAGTGAGTCAGTACTTATTTGGCGATGACTTAACAAAGAGAGTCAAAGATCTTACAGAACAACAAAAAGCTGCATCTGGCGTGGTGCGTGGACAACGTACACCCCGCCCCCAGTACCATCCGTACAGGACGCAAGCGTCCAGCACTTTTCAATACCGCAGACAAGGATGGAACCGTGCCGCCGGCACATCACAAACTTTTCCAAGTAGCAGGCCCGCAAGTGGGAACTACAACACGCCTTTTTTAGGCCAGCGAACCCAACGAGGCAGACCATACAGAGCTATGCCTCACACCCAGACGATGAGCATGGGAAAACAGACCCAATCCTTCCAGCGGCCACAGGCAGCAAGGAGGAAATAGCTACACCATTACCCAAAGAGGTAAGTAGCACATATGAATATTGTGAGAATGTTAATGCTCCTTCTACTTCATGTACATTACAACAAGAATGCATCTCAAATGTGCCTGTTGGAGGTCGATTGATATATTTCTATCGTAGATGGCGTGAATTAACGTCAGATCTATTTCTGCTATCGGCAGTGCGAGGCTATGAGATCGAATTTGATTATTCGAAAGGGGTTCCCTCAAGAAATAAGCCCCTCTACGGCTACAAAAAGAGCCCTTTAGAAATAAATCAGATTACTAAAGAAATCTTGGCTCTACAAGCAAAAAACGTAATAGAACCTTGCTCATTTGAAGAGGGAGAATTCCTCTCAAACATCTTCACGAGACCCAAGAAAGATGGGGGTACTCGTATGATCTTAGACTTATCAGAGCTTAATCAAAGTCTGAATGTACAACACTTTAAGATGGATAACATCCACACTGCCAAGCACTTGATTTCTCCGCACTGTTATCTTGCATCAATCGACCTCCAAGATGCTTATTACTCCATTCCAGTAGACCCAAATAGTAGAAAATACTTGAGGTTCATGTGGCAGGGTGAGCGCTGGCAATTTGCAACCTTACCTAATGGGCTCAGCACAGCCCCCAGACTGTTCACAAAATTGCTGAAGCCAGTCTTTGCCGAACTGCGACAAGCAGGTCATACAGTCATAGGATATTTGGACGACACCATAATTATTGGTGAAACAAAAGAAAAGCTGAAAGAGAGTGTGAGTGCAACAACCAAGATCCTCTCAGAATTAGGATTCCTCATTCACACTAAAAAATCAGTGCTCACCCCAACACGTGAACTAGCCTTTCTTGGCTTCATTCTTAACACTGAGAGTATGATTGTTAAATTGCCTCAAACAAAGGCACAAGAAGTGAAAGATTTATGCCGTGAATTAATGGGCACGTACCTCCCATCAATACGAATGGTAGCACGAGTGATTGGGAAGGTCATAGCAACTTTCCCTGCGGTTGAGTATGGCCCCTTATACTATAGATCAATGGAAAGGGACAAAATTGCAGCCCTCAGACAAAACAGGGGTCATTTTGACAGAAAGATGAAGTTGTCCCTTGAGGCAAAAGAGGAGTTAAAGTGGTGGATGAACAATGTTTCTATGGCCTCCTCCCCAATTGTTAGGAAAAAACCTGACTTAGAATTGCACACAGATGCCAGTGGCCTTGGATGGGGAGCTACTGACCTCCAGAAGCAAACAGGGGGTCGTTGGAATGAATTTGAGGCAGAAAGGGCACGAAACAATGAAATAAATTTCCTGGAAACCCTAGCCGCTGGGTTGGGGATAAAATCCTTTTGCATGAATAAGCGTAACGTTCATGTGATGGTAAGAATAGATAATACCACTGCAGTGGCTTATTCAAATCACATGGGAGGCTGCAAGTCCGCAATGTGTGACAAGATGACGAGAGAAATTTGGCAGTGGTGCATTTCTCGAAATATTTGGGTCTCCGCAGCCCATGTACCTGGTCGGCTCAATACTATAGCAGATGAAAGATCCAGGAAATTTAATGATCGAACAGAATGGAAACTAAACAGACAAGTGTTCGATAGAATAGTTTCCCACTTTGGTGTACCAGAAATAGACCTGTTCGCCTCGAGACTAAATGCTCAAGTAGAGAAATATGTCACTTGGCACCCAGACCCTGGGGCTTTTGCAGTTGACGCATTTACGCTAGATTGGAAACCTTTTGCATTCTATGCATTCCCACCGTTCTGTATGATCCCCAAATGCTTGCAAAAAATCAGAGAGGATAAAGCTAGAGGGTTACTTCTGGTCCCTAATTGGCCTACTCAGGCGTGGTTCCCTCAGTTGGTTAGCATGATGGAAGGAGAGCCACTGTTTATCCAGAGGCAAGAAGATTTGCTACTCCTTCCTGTGTTAAACACCACCCACCCTCTTAATGCTAATATTGACCTCTTATGTTGCAGGTTATGCGGCAACATTTTGAGAATCGGGGACTAAGCAGACGAACAGTGGATATCATTACAGCTTCATGGAGAGCATCAACCTGCAAGCAGTACCAAGTGTACATCACACAGTGGCGAAGATTTTGCCACAGCAGGAATACGAGTTACCTCCAAGCCGAGGTGGAAACGGTACTAGAATTCCTTAGTAGTTTATTTCATGACAGGAACCTTAGCTACAGTGCGATCAATACAGCTCGTAGCGCTTTATCCACTTTTCTGATTCTCGTTGACAGTAATCAGACAATAAGTACTCACCCACTTATAACCAGACTGATGAGAGGTGTTTTTCAACTCAGACCTGTCGTACCTAGATATACAGAAATATGGAATATTAGTCCAGTCCTCAATTTTCTAAGAAAATTGTCTCCAGTAAACTCCTTAAACCTCAGAGATTTAACACTCAAAGTATGTATGCTAATGGCTCTTGTATCGGCACAGATAGTGCAAACCTTGCATATATTGAAGACTAACAAGATGACCCTGAAAGGGGGCTTTGTGGTTTTTCATTTGGATGAACACTTGAAGCAAAGCAAACCAGGAAATACAGATTTTAATTTTAAATTGGAAGCATATCCACCTGATAGAAGATTGTGTATTGTAAAATATGTGAAACATTATGTCCAGCGCACAGGACCACTTCGTGGGAATGAGAACTCATTCTTTGTAAGTTACACCAGACCTCATAATAGAGTAACAACTCAAACCTTATCTCGCTGGATCAAGACCTGCTTGCAAAGAGCAGGTGTGGATACAAACGTTTATAAGGCTCATTCAACGCGGGCAGCATCAACTTCAGCAGCTGCCAAGGCAGCACTTCCAATGGACCAGATCCTAGCCCGAGCAGGATGGTCTTCAGAGAAAACGTTTAGGAAGTTCTACAGGAAACCTTTTGAAAACAAGAGAAACTTTACCCAGGCAGTCTTACAAGATAGCACACTGCTTTAAGAACTGCATCAGAAGGTTTTTCAATAGAACTGGCATTAAGAGACCAGCTGTCTATTTAATAGAACTGGGATTAAGAAACCAGATGTCTAGAATAAACTAGATACAGAAACGAACAATGTTTTTGCAACATTATGACATCTTATATATGGACGTCTTGTATGTGAAATGTTTTGCCACATGTATGAACAGACTACAATAAATGTCAAATATGGTGAGTCATTGATTAGAAGCATTCAATTCAATCTGCATAATCAGTGTTCACTTTTCCGTACATGTTGGTTGTTCCAAATGTGACTACTATGCTTCAAAATCTCATGTAATTTCGAACGACGAAATATGAAATAAAATAGTAAGATTAAACGAGAACTTACCGTTTGAAGTTTGATCTTTATTTTATGAATATTTAGGAGGAAGTTATTACATGCCCTCCTCACCCACCCAAACTTCAAACTTAAGTGTAAGTTCCCTGTTCCTTACTATTGAGAGTAGCCACATTTGTAGCTTTGAATATTGACTGCGCATGCGCTTGGCGGGATCTCATGTAATAACTTCCTCCTAAATATTCATAAAATAAAGATCAAACTTCAAACGGTAAGTTCTCGTTTAATCTTACTATTTTTCAAAACTTTGAATTACGAGGTAATAATTGAGATTTCCAAAACAAAAAGAAAAAAAGGAGAAAGAAAGAAGCTTGTCTTTCCTTTCAACCAGGTTAATACTGATAGAGGCAGAAGGGTCGAGGGAAAATATAAGAGAGAACTTGTTCAGTGAATGTTGAAGTAAAATCTGAAAAAGGAATACGGTATCAATCTTTGAAGTTGTTTTGTCCCAGTGTAGTAGGTGCTGACAAACAAATTTGAAAATATTTTTGTTTGCTGTGACAGTACAAAGCTCTGACATCGGCGCAAGCCCAGAGATGTCAACCGTAACGGTTTCACCGTATTTGTTACGGTTTTAATGCTCATGTTACGAGGTTACGGGAAACAATAAATAAAAGTACATTATAGCGAATGACGCCTTATCACATAGCCTCCGTACACAGCGCTGCTTGTCGCACGCATTTATTCATAAGTTCACTGAATTTGACTACACTGAATAGGCACTTTCGCGCACATGGTCCGTCCGCCGCCATCTTGTTTAATTCCGAAACAACACGGCCGCCGTCAATTCTGCTTTGGTACTAGTATGCTACGTGCGGTCGTGCGTTTTTGGGGGAGCATCCATGGTGGTGGATGATCGTGGGCGCGGCGCCCGCAATACCCATTCAAAATATAGTAGCAAAGACTTCGGTGATTCAGCGGGCGCATTGCAAGTGCGGTATACAGTGTGTTGTTGTTCATGAACGCCGGGCCCAGCGGCCTGGGCTGGTGTGTCTGTGGCATTGGTGAGTGTACGTGTGCGTGTGTAGTATACAAGTTCTGCCATTCTGACTGTGGATTCGAATTTGCCATTCGACGCTTGAACAAGGTGTTTTCTTCCTGAATATTATCATGGATTTACTCAAAAGAGCTAGTAACCGAGGAGGAGATCCTTTGACTGCAAACAGATTTTTAAAAACGTTTTTATGCAGTAAGAGTGATTGGGTATTTGTGTACGTTTTGCTCGAAAATTATGCTGCGGTGTCTTGTGTTCCGGAAAGACCCCCATTTGTTACGGACAAATGTGGTAAATGTTACTGACAGCCATCCTATAGGGTTGGCATCTCTGCAATCTCCAGTACATAGACATTAATCCTGCTGCAGAGGGGCATATATACTTGAAGCCCAACATCAAAGTTAATCAAGTACAAAGAGGAGGTTTATTTGTAACGGTTCTAAGATGCAGACTGATGACAGTTTTTGAGGGTCGGGAATTGCTATGACTTGTCCTAAGAACAGCTTTTGAAAAAGGTTTTAAAAATTGGCGGCCATGCACACACAGCCAAAATGATCCTGATGCCCATTACCTACATGTAAGGCCTAAAAAAAAGATGTTGTATTGACTTTTGGGACCAACCCAGAATTTTGTTAATGGACGGTCTGCTTTTTAATTTAATTTTACCGTTTTTTAGAAGAAAAAATGGTATTAAAGCATTCAAAACTGAGAAATATCAGCCCAAAGAGGGAGGTTTAAAAAAAAAAGTAAAATAGATTTCCGACCGATCGACCCATGTTTTTGCACCTAAAGGGCAATACATCTTTTTTTTAGGCCTAATTATAGTAATGACCAATGCTTAATTCTGAAACTCATGATTTGAAGTACTAATGACCACTTTTGTCACTTCATTATCTTATACATGTATTTGTTCCTTATTTCATCTATTTCTATTAACGTGATATAGACCGTATGTATTTCTTGTAATTATGTATTTTCTTGAATAAATTATTGTTACGCCAGTGGAAATCAATTTCTATGTAACATGTTTGCAAAGACAAAATAAAAAAATATCTTGTCTCTTTTATCTTGTTACAACTGGCCACAAAACAATATTATTGATGAATGATACTAATGTGAATGTATCATTTGCTTGATAGCGTGCTGATCTAGGTGCGTGTTCCAAACACCATGACCCTGCTTTGAGAGCTGACTATGAGCAAGCTGCTAAAAACAAAGACTTCGGATATCACATTGATGTAAGTATGATACGTTAATGTCATGAGCAAACGGGTTCATCAAACAAAACACTGAATAACCTGAGAGGTCATCTTTAATGATATTTAAAGCCCCACCGCACTACTTAAAGCTACTTGCGCCCTCTATATAGCAAACAATGCCTAATCGGTGCCTGTTGGTCCCCCATGATCCCCTTTTTCTTATGTTAATTGAGAGCTGATTTGATGAGATAACCACCTGTCAGTGACCTTGTAGGGAGGTCTAATCCTTCCTGGCCAAACTAGTGCAGATGGGCTTTAAAGGGTGTCACAAATCACAAACAATTATTCACATGTGCAACATACAGTGATACACTACAGAGCCTAAGTGGACACAGCTGTTTTTACAAGACATTAATGGAATTTGGTTTGTACAGAGGCTCTTTCATAATTTTGTGGGCTATTTGGGGAAATGTTTTTTTTTCTTTATGTGTATTTGGGGAAATGTTAGGGACCATACCCAAGACTCAAGACTGGGCCCCTCTTTAGCAATGAAAAAGAAAAGAGTAGTTTAGACTTTAGAAACAAGGACATTTTTACTAGTCTGGCACCTAGAGATGGCTATGTTCACTTCACTTGCTCGTAATTTCATCACATCTTTTTCAATGCATAATTCAACACGACCATTCATGACTTCACATACATGGATTAGGTTAGTAGGTTTTTCTTTTATAAGCTCATGATACATGATACCTGAAATTCATTTTCTGCTTCTAAAATGCAGAAATTCAGCACCATTTGCAGATAGATACATGGACAAAATTATGATCTTTTCAATTAACATATATTCTCACAATGTCAAAAACTTAGGTATTTTCTTTCAATCTTCAATGTCCATGTCTAAACAAATTACTGCTTTGTGTAAATCGCTTAACTTTCATTTGTACAATATCTCTAGAATCAAGAATCTGTTGACCTCTGATGCGTGCCATCATGTCGTAAGATCATTAATCCTCAGTAGAATAGACTATGCCAACTCTCTTCTTTTGAATGCTAATGTGACAGACATTCAAAGATTACAACGAATCCAAAATCGTGCTGCCCGGGTTGTTTTGGGAGGGAGCAGGTATGAATCAGCATCTCCTCTACTTAAGCAATTACACTGGTTAACCGTAAATAACAGAATCATATACAAAGTTTCCCTAATTGTCTACCAATGTTTGAATAATTGTGCACCAATGTATCTGTCTGTGCTTCTACATACTCCTCCTAGACTTCAATACAACCTCCGCTCTTCTAACGACCCCACGCTCCTCCGATTACCACGTATCAATTCAAGATCGGGGGAGTGTAGTTTCTTTTATTATGGCCCCAAAATTTGGAATACCCTCCCTTTCGACCTCCGTACCTCTCCCTCAGTTGAAATTTTCAAGAAAAAACTAAAAACGTACCTCTTCAATAAGTAAATTGTAATTCTAATATTTTTGTTTGTTATTATAATTACTCTTTTATACATGTATTATCTTGTGTTTACTATGTCATTATTTCTGTAAAGCGCTTCGAGCAATTCGTTGGATGTTGCGCTATATAAAAGACAATTGTATGTATGTATGTA